TCCATGTTTGTGTGCGTGTGTTTTTTAACCGCTGTTCCTGTGGTGCAGGGATGCGGATGTGTGCTTTGATCATAGTGCTTCAGCAGATTGGAAAAGGGCATTTAGCAGACAGGAACAGTATCAAAGTATACACTGTCTCCTACATTCAAAACAGAGGTGGTGTTAGCGCTGCTATTGTCAAGCTCCCTCCCTCATCACAGGCCTGATGAATAGCAGGAGTTGAAAGTGCACCTGTAGGTGTGGACGACAATGCATCGCTATTTACAGGCATGCTATTGATGTATCGCTTCCCCCCCCCACACAACAACAACGCAGAGACCATGTGTCATCTCGTGCTTCATTGCAAGATTAAAGGATGACTTTATATTCAGCCAGCTGAGCCCAGGCCTCCCGCACACCATCCACAATGCAACATATACAACATCCAGACTGACAGTGTGCCAAAACACGACAAGTATGAGCACTCCTGCCTCTGTACCAGTAGCAGGATAATAAGGATGTTTGTTCCTTGTGTTTTTAACGTCCAAAAACAGCATGACATTTACAACATGACTGAGTTAGGGGAAAAAAAAAAAATCTGTTTTCTGCAAAAACATAAGAAATGCTGTAGTAATTCTGATCTAAATATGGACTCGATTCATAAAGAAGGAACAAGAAAAATGACATTCATCACAAAAGCTCACACTGTAAAACAATTAGTCATGATATTTATAGGAGCGGCTGTGGCTCAGTTGATAGAGTCGGTCGTGTTTCAATTGGAAGGTCGGGTTCGATCCCCAGCTACTGCAGCCACACAACACAAGACACTTAACCCTGTGTTGCTCCTGCTGCTTCGTCAATGGAATATTAATGTGTCTGAATGGGTAATTTACTTCTGATGGACACTTTACATAGCAACTTCTTCCATTAGTGTGTGAATGTGTAGGTGTGACCTGCGTTGTAAAAGCACTTTGAGTAGTCAGAAGACTAGATTGATTACTAGATTTAAATTTTTGTGTTTGTCATCTCAACTAATGTAAAGTTTTCCTTGGTCCTTGAAATTGGTTTACAATTGAAAGTCAAAAAAATGTACCTCAGGTAGACCCAAAGTTATCTATATAATAACGACATTAACTGAGGTGACTGAATAGAGCAGTGTGTTCACACCTAGTTCACATCCTGGTTAGAAACAGCAGACAAAGGAGCACACTCAAACAGTAATAAATCATCCGGTGCACGACCGCATAAAGAATACAAGAGAACAGAAAAGTCAGCACAGTCAATGTCCTTTAAAGTACACTGAGTGTGCTGACTATGTATGAAAAGACAAAACAACTCAATTAGAAGTACAAGTGAAGTGAACTTAAGGGTTAAGAGTATAAGTTAATTTGACGAGGAATGTTTTTTTTTTGTTTTTCTTGAATACCAATTTATCCAACTATCATCTCAAATTCAGTCAACTCTAAATTTGAAGGCATCCTGCATGCTGACGGTCTGCAGGACAGTGGATAGAGTCTTAAATCGGAGTGAGAGAGAGTGAGGAATGACATGCAGGAAAGGAGCTGCAGGTCGGATTCAAATGGTTAATGGTTATACCTGACAATCTTTTATAAAAATCTATGATGGGAATGAAGAGCGTTTGATGTAGCTGCAGCTACTTTTCCTTGCTCCTCTGCTGTCTGCATTCTGAGATACACCAACATACATTACTGCATGCATGCATGCACAATTTGAACACACACAAAAACGCCAGCTGCCACGCAACGGAACACAGGTGATGCATGATCTGCATGGAGCGAGTCGGGAAAACACGTGATAATGTAACAAATGTGTGTGTGTGAAACAAAACACACAATTTATTGTTTTGGCCGGTAGAATTGTGCTTGGTTGGAGACGTTTTTCATCTACCAGCCACCTTGGCCAGTAATTGAAAAGTTAATATCGAACACTAAAGGACTCGCGAACCAACCACTAGGTCACTGGTGCCCAATGGCCCATTGAGTTAACGCCTAACAGAATGCGGTATGGGATACAGTGGTGTTTAAAGACTTGTGAATAGAAAAGAAAATTCAGATTCAGACAATGATGAGGCAGAAAAACTCAAGGGGGGGGGGGGGGGGTTATGGTTCTTGCGGATCTCTTCACCTTGTCTGACTTGAAATGTTCACTTTAAAATTTATATATTCTTTCAAATAATTGTCTTCCTTAATTAGTAGAAGTGTAATGATGTAGGTATCATGCTAGCCGCATGGTTCCTATAGTGAGGGGTTTGTAATTGTAGAGGAACCCCTTCAGGTTGAGACGATACCGCTCTGCTTCACATCAGGGTCCTGCTGACCCTGTTGGGATTCCACTCTGTGATAACCATAAGTTCACTGTACATGATTCCTTACATAGTTCAAACAACACATTTTTTTTTTTTTTTTTTTTTACAGTGTAATGATTTGAAACTTAGCTTGATTTCCTCTCACAATCACAACAGTTAATGAATCCATAATGAAACTACTCGCAGCTCATCCATTAACTCAGGCATAAATTTGCAATGAATTAATTCAGTCATTAATGATATGATGATAATGATAATGAATGTAAAGGGTAAAATGAATCGCCTTCATATTCAGATGTCATAAGATCAGCTAGGCCCCTGTGTTTTATTGGGTGCCCCCCTGACAAGACCTTTCATTTTAGAGTTTTTATGCTAAATTTAAATGTTTTCACCTTTTGACCTCAGCGAGCCTCCGTCCTGTAGATAAAAAGTAAATGACTTTGTTCAAAAGTCTTCTCTTTAATTTTGTACACAACCAGCAGGTTTGAACATCGTCGAGTCAGAAGTTACAAAACTGTTAATAATGATAAACAGGCTTTTTCATTTTCACAACTTGAAGGTACAAAGGCTTTATGAGCCTTCAGAACCCGTTGCAAAGCTTCTAACCCTTCAAATATGGTCAGGGTTTCACTTCTTTCCAAGAAATAATTCAGACTTAGTATCATAGCATCATGGAGGCAGGAAGTCAAAAAGTCTTTATATTGTTTTGAAACACTTGGTGTAAAAAAGTGTCAATCTATTTTAATTTTCGATACAATTGAAAAGTACAGAATCTTCAGTCATATTTTTAACCTAAAGCTGCTGTGAGCAAAAGGAGAGTGAAGCATTTGTGCAGCTTGGAAAGTGTGCAGGAGTTTGCCTGTAATGTTTGATCATTAAAAACAAAAAAATGACCCAATGTCTGGTGCCCAGGATTTCCATTTTAGTGGCCGTGTTATCAAAACAGGAATTGACCTAACCCTAAGCCCAAGATATCTACTGGTATCATACCTAAGTTTAAAGTTCAGCATCATTACAAGCCAAAAATGTAATATTTGACATGGATATTTAGGGTGGACTAACAAAGCACAACCCACCACCATGCATTGTATATAACTTCAGCAGTGTCCTGTATTCCTTCTTGATTACTTTATTACTGTTATTTTCTTTTTTTATTCTAAGTGCCTGGGCTTGCTGGCTTGTATTTTATTGTATTTTTATTTTTTCCTGTGTGCTGTGAAAAGCACTTAGGGTTAGACGTGTGAAAAAATGTACCTTCCCTTCCTTTTATAGACCTCCACATACATTTTTACATAAATGCTTTATTAAGGGAGCAGTGATGCCCATGTGACGGATGTGTGTTAAAAAAATAAAAACTACTCGAATGTAAATGTCACTTTCAGTACTAATGGGTGCCCTCCTAAATTCTCACAACTGTCAGAACACACATCCAGATCAAACTCCCACATATATGCTGGAATATCAATGTAGAAACACACAATATTATTTACATAGCCTGGATATTCCATTTGAGTTGTCAAACTGTCATTAGCTGCCTTTAGGACAATAAAAAAGTTCTTCTTTAACAGAATGTCACTAACTTTAAGGATAGCTGAATTTTTGTCCCATACCAAGAGGTAAATAAAAGTTTGGGAACAGAATGGCTAAATATCTAATCATTTTAAGACCTGACCAAAATTACCACCTAGTTCCAGCCACCGGCTGCACCTGCTGCGCTGTCTGTCCCGCTGTCCTCTGCATTGTTGTTGCTGCCCGTACCAAAGTGAAATTCAGCAAACTCCTGAGCCTTCTTCACGTCCGTAAAAGCAGTCTCTGTGCCTTTGAAAGTCACTCTTAATTTTGCTGTGTAGAGGCTGCTTTCCGGAGAATCACTGTCACATCACGAAAATAGTGGAGACACACTACGAGCGGTCGGGGAAGCTCCATATCACCGAGGATGTCTACGCAAAGCTCGGTGTGAACAGTCGACAAGAGGTGCGTCATCCAGAGATGCGAGACAAATCTCTTTCAGCTCCTTCTTTTAACATTCCAATCTGCACATTTTGCCTTCTAGATCATCCCTCAAGATCCATGCATTTTTCAGTTAGCTGGTTTACTTCAGAGCATAATCGTCTCACATGTGATTGTAGCATGCTAATAGCATCCGATGAATCGGTAGCTGCGCGCTCCAGCTCGGTAATGGTCGAGCCGTGGTATTCACTTGACGTTTGCGAGGCCAGGATGGCGCGTTTGGTCTCGAGAGCAGACAATTCTCCTCTAATCGTAGTGGCAACCTCTTCAATCTGAGTGTCGATTGTCTGTTAAATTTCCAGTTTAGTGGTTTGTAGGTCCGCACACAGCGAGCTAATAGCTTCCAGAATAGTGGCATCCGCCGACCGATGACCTGTTTCAGGTGAGTCCAGGGCGGCAGGGCCCGTTTCCTTCTGTTTCTTGTCCTTCGTGGACTGCATCCTCAAGTTCGACTTCATACTCTCTTAGAGTGCAAGTGTAAAGCCCAGGCTAGTTCTTGTCCACAATGGCAACTTATCACGTTGTTTGGGAACATCAAAATATTAATTTAGTGCTCAAGGTATTTTTTTCATGCAGGAGGTACCGGTGAAAGCTACTTATCGAACCATGGCTCTCTAGCGCCCCCTGTTAAAAGCAAGTTTACCCAGGGCTTAAAAACCGCTCTGAACTAAAGTGAGACCTTCTTCACTGACGCACCAACACTGGACTCACTGGATCTGCTGCTGTTCACTGAAAGCTCCTGTGAGGACTTTTTACCTGGTTATGAAAAAAAACTAAAATGAATATTCAAGGTGTCTTAAAACCAGCCAAGATTTATGTTTTCTATGATTGTACTTTTAATGTTTGAAACAGCTGCTCCACGTGTCAGAAAAAGTGATTCATTGCACACACTGCCAAAATAGTCTTTGTCAACGGTTTTCTACAAAGATTCTTGATGAGTGATATATCTAACTATTTAAAGAAAGGATGAGTATTTTTGTTGAAAAACACAACTTGCACATGTACAGGACAAATCAGCAAACAGATAAGAGGCACTACTTTGTCCACAGGGGTCGGCCAAATCAACACAAACTCTTAGTTCCTCACGGGGCTTTAATCAAATACACTTTAGAAATTCAAACTTTTGCCCAGAGCTGAAAAAAGAAGATTGATTAGATTTACACAGTTGTCAGAAACTGTTAAACAAGCAACATTTTCAAGGGTACACAATTTTTTTTTTTTTTTTTTTTACCAGATTGGGTGCTTTCTTTACATCAGCAGTGCCTGGCTAGATAAACACAAACAATAATACAATAAATACTACATGACAGGTGTGATTTCAGAGGATTATAAAGTGACTCTGTGTAAGCTTTACCATGCAGTTAGTTGCTTTGAAGGTCTATCAGCTATGCAGACCCCATCTTTGCACACAACACATGCTAGCATGCTCGGTGTGTTGGATTTTCCTTTAGGTATTCATTGCTTTTGTGCAATCACACAGGCCAAGGACGGGTGGAGGTTGTGTCCATGGCCTTTTAGAGTTTGCTATCATTGTTGCTCAGGTGGAATGGGCTGGAAACAGGTTGCGCTGTGTTGCTCATATGAAGGCATATTTCAAATATCATTTATATAGGATGGTGCAGATTACTAACAGACTGGACAATACAGCTCGAACTACAAACATACTACAAATGTAAATAAGAACACTTCCCATGCTGAAAATCCAGACCCCGGAGTACATGTATGTTGGTTCAACATGTTGTCTTACTTAAGAAATTGTTTGTTTTGCAACCTTTTCAATTGTTTCTTAAGATTGTTTTTAATATTCATTTTTAAAGCTTTATCCTCAAATATCAACTGATTGTTTTTTGATCTGGAGCAGCTTCAGTTTCAAATACTATTTCTACTATTTTAAAGATGTTAAAGATGTCCAAACCTACAAATCTATATAACCTGTGTTTGTCAGGTTATTTTACTGAGATGAATCAAGACACACAACCAAACATAATGTCAACAGAAAATACACCAACATGTGTTCTGTATGTAGTTTGTTGTTCACATGTATTATAATTATTTTTTAAATGGTTAACTGACTCTGAACAAGTAAATGTATTTCTTACTTTAGCGTTTCCCACCATTCACTCACATTTTCCTTATGTCAACATTTTACCGGTGAAAAGAGATTTCCAAGTGTCTCGTCCCAGGGGTTCTCCGAGCTGTGAGCAGCTGCCATGTGACAGATGTGTGTGAATACGGTATAGGCTGCTAGAAAGCAAATGAAATGTCATTTTAGTGCCAGTTGATTGCCTCGCTGTGTTTTCACTCGCGGTCCGTCATCAAAAACACTCCAAGACTCCCTGGAACGGAGACGCTCGAATGTCAATAAGGAGGACGTTCCTCCACCCACGCAGACACTCACTAACCCCATCCCCCCTCCCCTCCCCCTCCTCGCTCCCTCCTGTCCCCCTCTCTGAAATATCATCATGCTGCAAGGCAAAGTTCTAGTGACATTTAATTAGGGATTTTTTCCTCTCATGTTGGAGTCCTGGGAAAGAACACACTCTCAGCTGACTTCTCAGCATTGTATATTCAGTTAAATACTCTTCAATCAATCGAACCCGCTGTTGTTTCTCTCCCCTTCTCCTCTGCTTCTTATTCAACAGTTTGTGTGCTGTACACTCAAGGAATTGCCAACAGGGAATGGAGAGAGGTGAGTGCATGGGTGGGGGGATACTCTTAAGCCAATGACTGCCTCCAGGGAGCTTAAATGGCAGCAATGCAGAATTTCAGCAAGTCATATTGAAGGGATATAATTAGGCTTTAGAAGCCGGATGGATCAATGTGTTGTTTTAGATTTATCACAATGAAGACTCATGTTGTTTGGTTTACTTGTTTATGCTGAGCATCTTACCAGCCACATGCAGAAAAATATATAAATATTTAATGACACTGTTGTATTGTTCATTGGGCATTCAGTAAAAACTGATAGTGTATGCCAAGAAAACTAAAGGTCTCAGGGTGTTGCAGATTTATTTGCAATGCCAAAAAACATGGACAAGCAGTCATAAGTTAAGATTGAAAATGTAACTGTTAACTTTTGAGTCAACATGTCACCACTGGCTTATTGTTTTTTGAAACATATGAAACATGAATCTGCGAAACATGGTGTGACCCAAGCAATGGCTGTCTTAACTATGACTTGGATGTTAATGTGAGCCTGCCGACGTGTTTCTTTGTACACGTCTATTTCAAATTAATTGTATTCTCTGCTCATTGACCTTACATGTATTGACATACTTTTTGTTAATTCATACAGAACGCCTACACTTTGATTCTTTGAACAGTCGCCCTCTGATTTCAGTGTAGAGCGTCAGATTTAAATCATGCACGCACTCAAACGTGTCAACAAAATAAAATTTTCAACCATCACAAAGCTGTACTACATTATAGAGGGATTTGCTTTTTATTCTGGGTTGTGTTCAATGAGTATTTCATATTTTACAATTTTCATTTCTCTTCTAGTTTGGCAGAACAGAAGTCATCGACAACACCCTCAACCCTGACTTTGTCCGCAAATTCATCCTGGACTATTTCTTCGAGGAGAGGCAGAATCTACGCTTTGACCTGTGAGTTAACAATTGACTTATGCATGGTGGCGCTGGTGCTTGGTGTGTGTGTGTGTGTGTGTGTGTGTGTGTGTGTGTGTGTGTGTGTGTGTGTGTGTGTGTGTGTGTGTGTGTGTGTGTGTGTGTGTGTGTGTGTGTATGTGTTCTTGTATTTTTGTGTGTTGTAAAGGAGTGGGGGAGAGTGCTGCTCTGTGTGGAGCAAAGTTAAGCTAAGACTGAAATATTCATGGTCTGTGCAGGGGGAGATGTAAGTCTTCTCCCTTTTAAATAAAAGACAAGTCTTCATGCCACTTTTACGCCATCATTTCCATTTGAATTCATCCCATTCATACAATGCTTTGAGAAAAAAGTGGGCCAGGTGCAAACGGTGAATCATTTGCTCGGCATTTTGTGGTGATTACGATCAATTTGCAGTCCTTTCACCTCATCCAGTCCAAATACACATTTGTCCTCAGTTGCATGTGAATGGCATTATCATATTTTAAAAATTTGAATCGTGTTTTGGGACGTGATTCAATGCAGACAAAAAGCCCTCGTAGAAGTAACAAATGACCTCCTTGAAACAACAGATGCAGGAGATTGCTCGTTCTTAATCCTTTCTGCACAAAGTGCGGCTTTTGACACACTTGATCATACAATTTTAATTGACTGCCTTGAGCACTGGGTGGGTATCTCTGGGTCAGCTCAGAGTTCCCTCAGACCTCACTGCTCAGAACGAACCTGCTCTGTTAAAACAGGAGATTCTTAAACTACCAGAGCAGATAACAAGCACCTCTGGGGTTCCTCAGAGCTCACTTTTTGGCCCCATTATGTTCTTGGCTCTTTTGCATGTTAGTGTGTCATACAATTTATAAACTTCATTTGCAATGTGTGTTTTCATTCCCAGTTGTCTTAATTTGCAGTGTTTGGTACAAAATAAACCCATCGTGCTTAAAAGTGCATATGGAGTAAGAGCTGAATGTTTCCTTTATAATACTCAAAATGTTCAACTAACTCTGAAAACAGAATCATTGAGATTAAACATTTTTGTGCCAAATTTAGTCTAACAAGAATCCTCTTCTGCCTGACTCCACTCACATGGTTTAGGCAGTCGGCAGATGGACAACACCTTCTGGAAAGCACAGGGGAAACTAACAAACAGGCCAACACATAAATAGTATAAGAACATCTTAAGCTTTTCTCTGTCCAGATCATCATGTTTTCTCCTTGTGTGAGCGGCCAATTAAACAGGCAGTTGTTGCCAAACTTAGTCGCAGAAAAGTAAAACCATTTGAACAGTTGATGGCAACGCTGTCTACCATTACATTTTCTCCGCCTGCTTCACTTAACGTTACAGCTTGCGGTCCTTCACCCAAACTAAATCTGGCTTGCAGTCTAACTTCTTTCTCTATCCATGTGAATACAACCTTACTTTCAGCCAGGCTGTGGCATGTTTACTTTAGCTCAAACTAATGCTGGCTTTCCCATATGCACTCCTGAAAATTTCTTGAAGATTTATTTGTCCCACAGTATAAACAAAAGAGCTGAAACAAAGACACTGCATGGAGTTGATTCCTTAAGTGCACAATGATTGCATCAGTCGCTCAATGGTCACGCGATGTTAACGTTAAAAACCCCCTCCTGCTCGCCTGTAATGAATTTTCCTGCTTTTTACCTGCTGCATTCACACATCATCAACTCTGACTTCATATGGAAGCTGAACGAGGGGTCTTGCAGGGAAAAATCTGGGTTAAGGCTGGGTGAAAATGATTTGCCTTTTGCATTCATGCAGCTCATCCTGAAAATGGTTTTGTGCATGTGTGAAAATAATGTAAGATGAAGAAGTGAAGTGATTCTGGTAATTTTTTTGTTTTAGTAATTCAGTCTAAAGGTGAGGGTATTTATGTAAAGCACTTGCTTAATACTTTTTTGACATGAAGACACAGAAGTGGTGAGAAAATATTGCTAATCCAGCTGGTTGCTAAATGGCTTAACATGTGGGCGTGTAATGACAATTTACTGACTGCATGAGGTTGACATGCTGTCAGTAAATTGTCATGGATGGTTCATGGGCTGCAGCTGTGTTTAGAGGGACAGATTTCCCATTACATTTGAAGTATAACAGAAATGTGTTTTGTTTTTTTTGTACCTAGAATTGAATATTTAAATTGTCTACATCAGCTACACCTGTATTTTGAGTCACGGCTGTGTTAAAGTTTAAAAAGTCACATGTCCTCGTGTAGCCCCAAAAGTCGAGCTGTCCCGAGTAATTATGATAATCTTGATTTTCTCTATTGTGTTCCAGACTCGCACGCATTTACTGTATTTTCTCATGATGGCTCATGAAATATGGAACAGCTCTTTTGTTTGTTTACTTGTTGGTCTGTCAGCAGTGGCTGCATGCTGCTCACAAGCTGTGGGAGGTTACAGTGAAGGTCACGGCAAGACGTTAGCTTGCTGTAGGTAGAATGTGTGTGTTTGTGTTGGGAAGCAGTCCATTTTATTTAAGTCGAAGAGCAGGTTGTATTTGTTTATTTTTCTGTGTAGAGTTTGATTGAGGGAATTCTATATCTGTATAAAGAGAGATTTTATTAGTATGTGTGTGCATGTGAGTTTGTATGTGTTGGGGGATTTGATTTTTAAAGGTGTGTGTATGCGTAGGTGTTCTTTCATTTTTGTTTACGTGAGCATGCCTGCTCAGCTTCTTGTGTGCTTGCAAGATAAGTATGATCTATTTGTGTGCCACTTTGTGAGAGTGTGTATGTCAATTCGTGTTTTTATTGATTGTGTGTGTTTTTCTAACCATGACCTGTTATGTGCATGTGTCATTTTCGTATGTTTGAGGAATTATTTTTGCAGACTTTGCAAGAGAATCCTGCAAGATTTTAAACATTAAGCAGCAGTGGAGAGGGAGTGGAGAAGAATAGATTTTGTGTGTGTGTGTGTGTGTGTGTGTGTGTGTGTGTTTTTATATGTGTGCTGCATGGTCAACTCCCTGCAGGAGGGCACGTTGTGAGTGGGAGAGCATCAGGACCCACTTCTGTCCTCTGGGCTGACGGCCCTACGCTACGATAACTCACAGCGAGGACATGGCTCGCCTTAGCCCACACACACATATACACATGCCTACCCTGAGAACAAGAAATTTCCTAAACCACACACACACTTGCTCACACACACGCACACACACACACACACACACACACACACACACACACACACACACACACACACACACACACACACACACACACACACACACACGCACATTAACACTGAGGCTGTCTTCAGCACCACACACACACACATTTCTCACATTCCTCATTACAGTACCAGTGGTTACTCCTGCTCTCCTCAGCCTCTGTCCTGAGGTCTGGAAGTCTTTTTTTTTTTTTTTTTACTGCAGCTTCCTCAGCCCATCATTACCTCCACCTCCCTCACTTCCACTTAGAGCTTCACATCCCTTCAGGTTATCCACAGACAGCGCCAGACTCCCTGCAAACCGCCAGTGTAGCTGCTGCTGAAGCATCCCACGCTCTCTTTACCCTAAAACCCCTAAGCCTCGACACTCTTTACTTCCTCTGGTGCTTTCTGTGCCTGGAAATCCTGTTAACCCTCATCTCACTGATGGCCATGTTTAGACCTCCACTTAAAAAAACATTCTTTGGTGGTGTTGAATCTTTAGATGTTAACTGGAGCCAGTAAAGGTCCCCTGGGTGGGTGGGTGTATGGGTGTCTAATCAAGGGTGACAAATTGGATTAGACCTCAATATCAAGTGAAATGACCTGCCGAAAGGAAGAGAAGAACAATATGGCTGTATTAACTTATAATGTCTTATAACTTAGGTTTCATGGAATAAGTTTAGCAAAAATGTGTTCACTACTTAAACATTAGTTTATCAGAACCATTAATACATTCATTTATCTAATTTGGGAAGCAAATTGATGCAGCTATTCCAACAAAAAAATATATTGTTTACATTTCCAATGAATGCAGCATAGTATCAGAATATTTTGCATAGCAATATCATACACAAAGTATTGATCTGGATTCACAGATGTATCGGTTGCACATCAATATCAGACCATCGACAAATAACACAGCAAGTTCTGATGTCATAAGCCAAAGTGAATCTGTTGTGGTTCATCAATTTAAACTGGGCAAGCTAAGATACCTATAAGTGCTGATTCAGAGAAGAGGTTTGTTATTGGGCAGAGGATGTCACCTTGTTGGACAAACTGTCAAACGGTCAAACATGGAAGAAAAAGTCAGCAATGGACGTCTCTGATAAAGATCTGTGACTTGCATTTTGTGAGACATGCTGAATGATATTTCAAGAGGAGGGACTGCTAACAACAGTTGAATACATCCAATCACAGCTCATTTGAGAAACAGACGCGAAGAATTACGACCAGGTAATTTAAAAAAAATTGTTATGTCAAACTGCAGTATTGGTCTCGGTATCAGCTCTATCTTTTCACAATAAGTGCATCCCTTCCTCTTATTAAAGCCTTTAAGGTGAATGCTAATGTTTGTGAAATGAGCTGTCCTTAGGAGTAGTGAGTGAAAACAAAGATTGGGAAATCGTTTAACATCATATTAACGTTGCCACATTAATCAGCCTATCAGAAACTGATTTCAATCTCAAAAGCAACATATGAAGTGAGGTCTTGAGCTGTCATATCGTCAGGTCTCTGGTGATTCCCAACAGTGGTGTACTGGAGCTAGTCCTTAACAGTGTGGCTACAGAGGAAGGGAGACTGTTTTTACGGTTGTACATCAGTGCACTTGTTGTAACAAAAACATTTTTGTGAAGCATTTCCTGCAGCATCGTCACGAGAATCACAAGATCACGAGAGCCACATCTCTATAAACATTTCCATCGTCTCCCATTAATCTGGTTATTTGACTGCTGTTTGAAAAAGCACAATGTTCCAGATATTCTGTCACAACGAGCAGAACAGTACAGAATATATGCTAATAACATTTCTTTAGCATCTTGTGTCAGTGAGGTTTTAAGGCTTTTATGAAGGTTTGGTGAAGCTGTTAGGAAACGGAGCTCCAGTGTCAGTGTGCTGTCGTCTGTTGTTTGCTGTCTCTCCGGCCTCGTTTGTTTGTGTGCCATCATTAGTCATCGTCGCTCAGTTCAAATGGAGCTCTGAGCGGCCAACCCCCATTCCCACACCCCTCCCCTTCTTCCCACACCCCCCCCGCCCCCAATCACAAGACAAGACAGCACAGGACCAAAAAGAAATCCTGTTTGGCCCAGTGCCATGCGCGGTGATCTCATCCTCATAAACACACACACACACATTCACACACACACACACACACACACACACACACACACACACACGTTCAGTCACACAAGATAATTTGCACTCACAAGGAACATTGGGACATGCCCTCATGCGCACTCTCATAGGTGTGTGTGAATGAAAATGTGCAACCAAATCTTAGCGTATACATCAGAACGTTACGTTGTTTTTCTTCATTCCTGTCTCTCGCTCTCTCGGTCTCAGATGATTAAATATGGTTAAATAAATCATTCATGAACATTTGGGAGTGACAGAAGCATGTGAGGAATAGAACATGAGGCTCACCTGTGCATTTTGCAGATGGCATGTTGCATAACAGCAGCGTGTTTTCATGCTCTTATGGAATTACTTATTAGTAGCAACAGCAGTGTATCGAAGGCTCTCCTCTCCTGTAGTGACACATAGTGACTCTCCTAGGTTTGTCAGCAGGCGTCTTATCGTACGTGGCATGCTGTTTGTAGAAAGGAAACGCTCAGGCTCTCCCTGTTACACACTCTGCTGCACGCTGCTGCACACACGATGCACACGCATGTACATATTGACCCACACCTGACACAGCTAGGAAGCTGACAGGTTATGAAGAAGTAAACAGAGCTGGATGATTTCCTCTCTGCAGATGTGATGAGTGGTTTATATGGTTTGCATGGTGAAGCTGTTACTGATGAATTTGGATGACGGCTCCTATAGGGTTGGGAATCGCAGGGTAATGCACCATACGATATGATGTGCAGTGCGCTATGATGGTATCATGTATTGCGAGACAATTATATAATGATAGCCTCTATGACGGTTATGTGTAGAGTTATTGTGTTTATTCACTGCGATTTGGTGTCAGTCTCACCTCTTATCGTGCTTCATCCTTTAACTTTTAGACATTATCTTCTTCATTTTCTTTTATCCTGCTGTCGAACTTTTCTTTTCCTTGGCCATTTTACTTCTGTTACGTTCCCCTCATTCTCGTCAGTATGGCGCCTCTGTGAGGAGTCATGGAGTAGTGACGTAGTGAGTCAAACTGGCAGGGAAATCTGTTCCGAGTACTTTTTAAAATCAAACTATCTATATTTGGCAGGAGTCAGGATGAGGATATATTGCCGTATCCAATTTTGCGGCCTGTCCAGGCGTCCGAGCCACACAGGGGGAAGCACTCAGTTAAGTGAACACCAAGACAAATTATATTCCCCTAAAAACAGAGCTGATGATTTCACGTATCAGGTCTGTTAGGAATTACATGTGCATATGTAATCTAGGGATGGGAACCTTTAGTTGTCTCACGATTCGATTCAATTTCGATTTCGATTCTTGGGGTCACAATTGGATTCGAAATCTATTTTCAATTCAAAAAGATTCTGGATTCAAAGTCCATTTTTGAATGAGTAATTACTTCAGGATCTCCTCCAGTCATCTGTGAGACTGGCTGAATGTCAGTTAAAGAGTTAAAGAGCTACCCTTAGCACTTAGCAGGGAGGGACTGAATGTTATGAATCTATTGAAAATCTCAGAACATAAGAATCTCAATTTTTACATTAATCCATTTTTTTTCCCTCCCTTAATGTGATCACAGTTGACATTTAACTGTGGGAAACAAATAATACATCCAGGTTGCTCACTTTAGCCAACTATCTTTATTGTCTTCTCTCAGTTATTGTCTTCTACTTTCTGTAGTATTAAGACGTTTAACACAAGCTTTATTTATTGTAGAAGGTAGGCTTAGGTAGTTGGGGAAAAAAAATATACAAAATTGACTCCACCATTATTTTTCCAACAGCAAACAAAACAACAACTGTTTTTTTGTTTTAAGATGCTAAACTTAGTGCTGGCCTCTTCATGCAACCAGAAATAATGAGGGTTTTTTCTCATCAGTTTTATACATGAAAAGTTGCTGTGAGAGCGCCGATGGAGGGATCAGTGTTTCAAGTGATGAGATGCATCATTCCTCTCAGCTTAGGCGAAGGCATGCAAGCAATCAAACACTATGTCACTCTGCTTTGGCCCAATGCAACTTACATGCTAGAGCGGAGAAGTGAGACGCATTACTCTGTAAAGTTTCATCCAAAGTGGCATCCGAGATATCTGCCAACTGTCCCGTCAGAATCAGAATCAGAATCGACTTAATTGGCCAAGTGTGTTGACATGTACGAGGGATTTCTATCCACTTGTCATCGGCTCTCCGTAAACACACACACAGGGCTGAAAGAAATATGTACAGATTCAGATTTACATTAATATGTCATTATAAGACATCACGGAAAAAACAAAGATAGTAACGTAAACACATAGGTATTATGTAAGTAGAAAATAGGTAAGCAACAGCTTACATACACATCACAACATCTTTATTATATACAAATAAAAACTATATATGCAGGGTGGTTTTCTAGTTACACTGTGCTGCTAATCCTGCTTAATGGCAGTGCATAGAAAACTGTATAGACATGCTGAAACATTTCTAATCTGAGGTACTGGAGCTGGGTTAAAAAACAGCTGATTGATTCAGGGTATGATTTTGGACACTCTTTCTCAAACTTTGTTTAGCTTCCCCCATGGCTTACACAAATAACAGATCACTGGACCTTTAAAGACATGATAAAGACAAGAAATCTTTCGTGTGGTTAGCTTGTTCATGAGAATTCTGTTCATTGATGGAGAAAATAGTTAAAAATGTCGCTCCTCCATATAGACCGCTATAGGTAGTAGCGATTCTAGAGCTTGTTGGGGGCCCTAGGCAAAAATCCATCGGGGGGGCCCTCCAACCAACATTCATCAGGGCAACGAGAATGAGTGCTGTGAGATGGGGCCCCCTTAGGGAGGTTTCCTACCGTCATTGCTATAGGAAAGCCTAAGACTGAGAATGTACTTAAAGACAGGTGACACACTTTTCCAAGAACCCTGGATCCTGATGCAAGCAGCAGTAAGGGTGTTGTTAGCCAAGTAACGAGCACGACCACCAACGCCGACAACACTCACTGTCAAGACTGATCCTGGTTTTTGTGTTGACGTATTGATGTAAGAGTGCATTATGCCTGAAAATAAACAGGCAGAGCGCGTGTGTGGTAAAGGAGTTTAGAGTCAGACTTTTCTTAATTTCAGCTAGTTATGACGTAGTTAAGACCAAGAGATTTAGGCATCGAGACCGAGTCAAGGCCAAGACATAGTGAAAAATCAGCATCTTGTGTGCAGTGCGCGTGTCACTCACTTAGACCCTAACCGTCAGTGTGGGTACATTTGACCTATTGGATGGAGGTCTGAATTATGGCTGTGCTTTTACACCCTTTTGTTGCAGTCAGATGAAGCTCAAGCTAGCTGTCAGCTATCCTCAGACTAATTGATGCCAATATAGTGCAGACCAGAAAAGTGCTTTTTGGAATATTTTGGACTAAAGATGGACTAAAGATGGGTACTGAGTACATCATAGCTAGACACAGACACTGTCTGTAGGAGCTAAGATGCTTTCTTTAATATCTTTTGAAGTATTACAATTCATGTAGTTCTTGCAATGCTGAACAATGCAATCATCACACATTCCTTTTTTTCATATGGTGCAGGAGGTGAAGTGTCACTGTCATACTCTTGTGCATGAAATGGGATTAATTCATCTTTTCAGTGCTTCAATCACCACAAGCCTACTCTAACCCTGAATAGCTTCTTTGCCGTGATTAGAGGAGAAGTGCCTGGCATTAATGATATGTAATGAGGGAGAGAAGCCTTTGTCACATGGCCTGCTAATTTGCTCCGCGGCAGCCTTTGACTCTCAGACCTGCAGCTCAAGCCTTTCAGCCTTTTGGACGGCCCCCGCTCTGATGCGTCATCTCTCCTTCTTTTCTCTGCAGGTACGATTTGGACTGCAAGAGCGACAACCTCTCGAAACACGTGAGTGTCTCCTTCACCTCAGCTGTACAACAATCAGTCATGCATTCAGGGAAATGTTATACAGCCAAATGTTTATCCTTCCAGTACAATAGCAGCCTGATTTGAATCAGAATGTCAAAGGTAAGTGTCACAACAGCGACAAAGCAATCGTGTTGGCATTTAAACTCTTCTAAAGAAAGGAATAAGGGTTTTTGTGACCCATACTAAAGGTATTCAGAGGGTTTTTACACCACATTGTCTCTCTCTGAGCTGCAAGCTTTTTGTGTGGTTTTTTACGAGGCAATTCTTTAGAATATACACGGGCTAATTCCAGACAAGTCGTATATAATCATGCTTCTGCAGAGTCCATATTATCCCCGGTGGTCATAAAGTAAAAGATGGAACAATTACCTTGTGTTTTTTATGCTTTGTGCAGTGAAAGAACTAAAGTTTTTAACAATAACTCCTACTCCTGAGGGTTTTACTAATACTTGAAAACATCATTATTGTCCCATAAGGCTCTGATGCATTGTAAATGATTTTTTGCCAGAGTATATAGAAGAGGTTTTAGTTACTATTTGAGGTATTTTCAACCTCATGAAACCTTTTGGCTGATCAATGAGCCATAATGCTAACTCTGTGCAGAATAACACAGCATACATATCCTAGGAGCTCCTGAGCTCTCATATCTCGTAGGTTCCTCAGGTTCATTGGTGGACGGCCTTGCCTGAACGCCCCCATCCCGCTGTTTGTACCTATCCTTCTTCCTGCATCTTATCCCATCGCCCCCATTCCATTTTTCATGTCTGGCGCAATTTCGGTAGATGGCTGTTCATTATGAGTCTCGTTTTGCCCAAGATTTCTGCATCTTTAAAGGATGTTTTTCTTGCCACTGTAACTTTGCTTAAAGAGGACATATTATACCCCTTTTCTACCCTTTCAAACAGTCCCCTGTGGTATAAATTAAACATCTGTTCTGTGCTTTGGTCAAAATATAACATGAATCAAGCACCAGAGGAGCCTGTATGAACCAGCTCTCTCAGAACGCTCCGTTTTGGTGTGTGTGTCTCTTTAAATGCAACGAGTCACCCCTGAGTTTCCCCGGTAGACATCACTCCTCTGTAGCAAGATTTAAAATGTCAGACCTGCACAAAAGTTATGTTCTAGGCTAGGGGTGGAGTCCATGGGTGGAGATACCAGGGGAGGGAAGGGTATTTTTTTTTTACCAGAATCCCACTGTGACATCATAAGGAGAGCAAATTTGAAACAGAGCATTTTTCTCTGTGTTGTAAGACTTATGCAGACCACAAACAAAGGACTGGATGGGTTTATTTCACATTGTGTGGGTCAGTAGACACTCAGGTTACCCAAATATATCAGTATTTCCCCTACCATTATTACCGGGGCGGCCCGCTGTAAACCTAGGGGAAACACTGTATATGTTCAAAAACACTGTAAAAGTGGATTTTTCATAATATGTCCCCTTTAATGTTGCTAAGTACTACGCTAATGGAAAGATTGATTGATTGATATTGCATACATGAAACGTATTATAAGCATATGTTGAACATCAGGCCTAGTGAGCTAGGATCCAGCATATGAACAGCATTCACCTCTTTTTTCAGTTGCAGGTTTTTTCTTCAGATTGCAATGTTCTGCATGCTGTTTTAGTCTTTTCTCTACCTCCATGTTGATTTAGAAACCTGTACCATCAGATTTCCCCTCACCAGAGCCTCCTCCTTCACTTTCAGTTTCGAACAGAAGCTCCAGCAGCACCCTGCTCCAGTTCTGTCTATAACACCCCCGGCCCCCGTTCTTATTACTCTGCTTTATACTCATTGCCAACTGCAGGCGGAGATCTTTTCCTCAGCCCCATCCCCTCTGTGCCCCCGGGCTTCTACTCAGAGCGCTGAGCAATGTGAGCGTAGCGACTCACTCTCAGCATGAAGGCTGAGGACGCTTGGATGCGTCCTGTCGTTGCCGTGGATGTGTGGGATTAGAGATCTGGCACGCAGTGATGGCTCCATTGTCCAGGCACGGTCCATTCCCTGTCTCACAGCTTTAAATAACGGGAAAATTGGAAGGATAAAGAAAATGCTCACGAGTACAGTATGTCTCTTGGCAGCTTCACTGGCAGAGTTTGAGGTTGCTTCCTACCTCCCACTACAGCAGATGTTTTTTTTTCTCGCCATATGGTTTGCATACCTTAAGTCGATATGACTGCAGGAGATGTGCAAAGACAGTGCATAGAGTAAATATAATTACTGTCTCTCATTTTCAACGAAATAGAGATGATAAGTATGTTGCTTTTTCAGTCTGACTTCTAATGGCTTTGTGCACAATTCTTTATTTTACTATCCGTTTATTTTTGTGGGCGAGTACACCAAAACGCTTCCTTCGTATAAACAGTCATCTCATTTCAAAGCTTATATTCATTATTTTAAACTTGATCAACACAGGGAATCCAGGCGGGGGAATAGCTTGGTTGTTTGCACACAGTAATTAACTTTACTGGCTGTGTTCCCTCATGACTATTTGAAAGCAGTCAGGATTCCACTGCAAACTTTCATTCCCCTTATTAAATTTACAATCGCTTCGAAGAGTATAATTATTTCCTCTCTCAGAACTTTCCTTTTTTTACCTCTGACATCTTTCATAATTTATCTTCTTTCTCGAAGCAGATAATCTAATAGTCAAAGTTTAGAGGGGTAAAAAATAATCCAAAAGCTTGATATGTACTCACTGTAATACAATATAGTCACAGAAACCGGTTTGATTTTTGGGGTGAAGAGGTTTTTATTTTTACACAGAGTTATTAATGTCAGGTCTTTGTGGATAATATAACAGAGTGAGGTCTTTAACTCGCTCTTTTGTAATGTGTCTTGAGATAACATTTGTTATGAATTGGCCCTAAACAAATAACAATTGATTAATTAATTCATTAACAATTTACAATTGTCTAAAATGAGCATGTCTCGACTTTAATAGTCATTTTCCCGATTGGATGGAAATGACAGTCTAGACCGCTACAGCAACATCTAAGAAAGTTATTGAGTGTTAACTTTTGGTCACGCTCGCAGATGAGTGCTTGATATATGAATTATTTTAAATCCGTCTACTATCTTAAGGTAATTCTTCTTTTAGTTCTTTGTAGCTGTGGTTCATATGTTTAAGACATCTCATAGCAACAGAGCTATATTTGGATCGGAGCATACAAGTGTATGATGTGAGCTGAAAAGGAAATGTAATTTGCTGAGGTTGAAGAAATGTACATGTCTGACATTTACGTTGCCAAGGTAATTCTTCTTTCTAATCTTTTAGAAGTGTACCCAAATAGAAAGGAATTTGTAGGCTGTACCTGCTAACAGAATATAAGCAACACTGTTAACATGTCAGCCGTTTTGTTCTGAAACTTTGTTTCACGATTTCATCATTGAATATTGACAGCAGAAACACCCCCACCTAACATTAACCACTTCCTGTTTGATACATTTGGTGTAATCCAAAAAATAAAATGCAAGAAGTTAGATTACGTTTTGGATTATATTCACATTACCTAAAGGTTTATTTATATTTTTTTGTCGTTTAATAGCATTGTAGTGATATTTTAATAATTTGACCAGAACAACATCAGACATCTTGTTTATCGTCCTCATGGGAGTTTAAAAATGTTGTTATTTTGAAGCAGTGCATACAAAAGATGGAAGGAAAATTGGGAATTTGTTGTCCATATTCCATTTTATCAGGTACTTTGACCTTTCCTACAAAGAAACTGAAGATGTAAAGGCAGAGTAACCCCCTCTCCCCCCCCCAAATGTGTGAACCACAGGATACTCCCAGATCATCTTTGAGCACAACTTAGGCTTCGACATTGATTGCAATCAGCAATTCACATTTTCTGAAGTAAATGTCTAATTATGTCTGAGTGCTGATTTATAATATTTATTCAGTTATTTTCTCCATTTCGTGTCAAATTTTTTGTGATTAGTGTAATACCCCTTTAACTTGCTGCAACTCTTAGACACATCTACATGAACAGAAGTGTGTTCTCTTTACTAATGGTCTTGTGATGAGAAGGACTTGAAGCACATTGGACTTGTGGAATTCAGCTGTGATCTTTTTTATTTGGAGTTACCCTCCTAACCTTTTTTTTTTTCTTTTCTCTCTCTGCCACCACTGAGCCTGTTAATCTGAGGCGCCTCAGCCTCTGGCCTTAGATATCTGAGCGCAGCGGGCGCTGGGCTGGGGTTTGCTAGCTAGCAGCACACTTCTTATGGAAGGGCCCGAGCTTTTTGTCATCTCTTTTTGTTTCAAGACCTCGGCTGGGGGAGAAATGTTCAGCACCGGCAAAGATCTTTGGAGCAGCTTTCTGCCCGCCGGACTCGACACGGCTCATCTGTCAAGCACACAAACGCATACGCACACACATACACACACATATATATACATGGATGCTTCTTCATGCACACATGCATACACAAAGTGGTAGGAGAGGCCTCAGTATTGGTGCATGAAGCGTCTTTCTTTGCATGTTGTAAACAGATTTTTTTTACACCCCTCCCCTCTATCTCTCTGCTTTGCTCTTCTTGCTGGCCAAAGGCTCCTCCTGCTCAAACTCTCTTGTCCTCTCTTGTGGTCACCCTACAGTGATCAACAAGGACGCGGGATCCTCTGCACACTGAGCTTATGAGTCATTGTGCAGATCATACTCTACTCATTGTAAAAGAGTTTTGAGTAGTCAGAAGCCGAGACAACAAGCTAAAGTCCATTTACCATTTAATTTCTTGTTTTTTTATTACTAAAATGCATCTTAAATCCTTCACACAGTCTAAATTACACAACAAACATTGACGACGTATTTGTGCATTTCAGTCTAGTCTAGTCTCTTCTATTGTTCCAATAGATGAAAAGCTGAGAGGGAAGGGTTCAGCTCTTTTTCCAGGATTATTCTAAATCCTTTCATGGATAGATGTGATACCAGTTTCAACATCTGTTCCACATTTTTTTTTTTTCTCAAGCAAGCCAGCAAGAGCAGGTTGTCCAGATAAGATCATACTCTCTCAACCCCAGCCAGCATAATGGCTACAGACTGATTCCAAACATCTGGAGAGGTGGACTTCTGTCGATTGGCCATTAACCCCAGATTATGATAACCCAATAATATTATTTACAGACTTTTTAATTGAATTTGTTCAGGTCACATGCTGGTTGACGTTTGGCAATAACAGCTGGAGAATCTTGATGTGATGCCTGTTGTAAATTTGCTTCAATTCTCACAAACTGGATTATACTGAAAATAATTAGCACTTGAACTGTCTGTGCCTCTTATGGCTGGCGTCAGTAAAGCTTGTTTGCATATCATGCGACTAATATGTTCTGGTATCATCAAATGCTAACATGCTATTTAGATTGCAGCAAAATCAGAAGAGCATTTTAGACCTTGTGGGTGCCGTCAGAATTTCACATTTCCTTCTATTTTCGATCTTTGAGTCTTCATATTGGACAACTTAGTTGATGCAGTTTTTGCCTTACACGGTGTAAAAATTGGCCAAGTGGACAAATATTAAAGGACCTTTTTCGCTATGAAACCTCTAATATTGTCTGTATTTGCGTTTAATGTGTTTATTTGTGTGTTCTTCACACATGCAGGACTTCCTGGGCCAGGCTTTCGGCACGCTAGGTGAGATCGTTGGATCTCTGGGGAGTCGCCTGGAAAAACCTTTGATGTGAGTACTCGCTGTGCGCACACAGACGGCAACAAAACAAACAAACACACTCACAGCTATTTTAATTAGACACTCATAATTAAAAACCATTGGGTTTGTATGGTATTGCTCTAAGCAGAGAGCCGCGATCATTAGGTGGCACTAAAGCTGTTTGGGCTTGTGTGCTGATTTCAGGTTGGGATCCATTCAGTCGGGTGAATTGAAAATCTGCATGTTATTTTAAGATCACTTACAACTGTTCATCTTTGAAGTGAGGAGAAGCAAAGGCGCAAAAACGAGCGAGGATGTTGATGAAAGCGTACCCTGTCTCCATCAGCAGAATGAAATGAATAGTTAAACAGCAGCAGGGCCTAATGACAGCCTGTAAACATGTTGAGATGGTAAACAGTGTGTAGTGAAAAGGGACATTTCACCCAGAGGGAAGATGTCAATGGTCGGCTCCCAGCTCATTTACTGAAGAAGCCTGAACCAAACTGAAGCCTCAACTATTCCCTGGAGAAATTATCAAATTACATTTCATACCAATAAACATTTGAATTTGCTTTTCTCGGGCTGGATGGTCTGCTCTGGCGACCCATAGGCTCTTACACGGGTACACCTTTATATATATCTGCTTCTGCTTCCTCACTATCTATGTATTTTTTATCGTGCAGAAAAGTACTGGACAGTATTCTTTGCGTTCTTAGGACCTCTTTATGCTCTCTGTCCCAAACGCTCGGACAGAAATTGGGAAAAGAGCTTTTGGGTATTCTGCACCCTCAGCCTGGAATCTGTTGCAGAATGAATTAAAACTCAAAGAGCTGTTGTCCTTAAATGTTTTTAAATCTAAAATGAAAGACCTGGAAGCAGATTCGATAGGATGTTGATGCTTTTGGCTCGACTGCTTGAACTACTGACAATTTGTTTTATTGACTAATAATCACCAAGTTTAGTTTGTTTAGTTTGTCAGGGACCATTTAAAAAAATATAACTGAATCTCAATCAATGAGAGGATATGCATTGCACCAGATTCAGCTGATAAGCTACATTCCATCTGCAGTCCCTTTACAGGTACACACACAGACTATACAAAATACAATACACAATTAAGCATTACAAAACATGATGAAGAGATGATAAAACCAGGTAACATCATAGCCACATTCCATAACCTAAAACCTACCAGCCTCCCAACCCTCCCTCCACACCCACAAAGAGCGTACTACCACATGTACCCACACACGCACACACACACACACACGCACGCACGCACACACACACACACCTGAAAATGGACTTCTATGTACAGGAAGAAATCATGACTATCAGTAAGGCTATCAAACAACTATCAATCAAGATTAATGCACACATGATTGGTTTTTCAGGGTTCATTCTTTCACTTCTAAATTTGTGCAGATTTTCAAATCTGCCCAAAACATTATAGTTATGGCCTTGTTCCTCCTGTTGCTGTAGATGTGTTGATATGAGTCCTTCGGGGGTTAATTGCAAGCGTAGTGAGACCAATTTGAAGATCTCTTAAGCTAATGATGAAAACCAAACATCTGACCACTTAATGGTCTGATAATATCTAAAGCCAGCGTTTCAAAAGACATCAACACAGTTCTTTAAACCCCAATGGACAGTTCTTCTTTGCATAGACAGAAACAGGGTTGTGTGTGTGTGTCTAGCATCTCAGCAGCACTGTAGCTGTCATTTTAACACACGGAGCAGCACGGCAACATCTTCTTCAGCTCTCCGAAGAGAACAATTTGTTGTTGCTTTTGTTTTCCTCCCGGGCATCGAGCCATCAGTAGTCTGACCCTCGCCTCATCCCCTGACACACACTCTACCAGCCAGTGTGTGTGTGTGTGTGTGTGTGTGTGTGTGTGTGTGTGTGTGTGTGTGTGTGTGTGTGTGTGTGTGTGTGTGTGCAGAGAGAGAGAAAGAGACATAGAGATAGAGAGAGGGTGGACTATTCAGGCCTGGCATTTACATTTATGACTGTCTGTCTGTATTAATGTGTGTGTGTGTGTGTGTCTGTGTCTGTGTCTGTGTGTGTGTGTGCCTGGCAGAATCAACGAGTGGTTAAAGCTGAATGGGCCTGCTGAAGAATGACACACAAGAAATATGATGTAAGAATGTGTTACGGTCGCGGAGTTATGTAATCACCTCTGCCTACAGTCATTCACTCAGAAATGTTAGTTTTGTGTGTGTGTGTGTGTGTGTGTGTGTGTGTTTGTGTGTGTGTGTACCTGCGTGTTTTATTTTTAGCCTTTTTTTTTTAGATATGCGAAGATAGTTTCAGATGTTTTGTGTGATGCTCCGTTGCATTTTGAAGTTTACAGCTCTGCATGTGTGTATTTACACAGTGCCGACTCTGAGTGAAACAAACAAAAAGGCATTATTAAGTCAAACGTATCACACTTCTGCTCAGTTGAGTGTAGGCGGACGGCAAGAATAAAAGGAGCTACAAAGACACGACTGAGATGACAACATGCTCCATTGTTAGATTATGTCACAGTCTTTGTGTGAAATCACCAACTTCAGTGACTAAGACAACAGTTTTACAGCACAGAGAAGGCTTTGTTCTCTTAAACTGTCGCACTTATGTTGAATTCAATGCCTCACAAGATCGTCATTTACAATCTTAATGCCCGACAGATCATGAATATTGTTTGATATTGAGTTTGGCAGAGTTTGTAACAACATTGTTTCATTAGCTACATCAATTTCTTTTGACATTACAGATAGATATTCTGCCTTTTCACGACCATGCCAGGCAAAACGAATTTGCCACAAAAGTTATTTTGTTTTAGAAGAAAGCTCTTCAATGCAGTAGATAGAGATATTGGGTTAACCATCAAACGCTGAGACATCAGAATGAGTGGAGGTCGTTTTATTAAACAAACTCCTTCCTTCTGTTGTAGACAGAACAGTAAGCAGTTACTGTGCCTACATTTTGCAAAGCCCCCCCCCCCCCCCAAAAAAAAAAAAAAAACAGTCTGTTCTCTTCCTTGAGATGAAATCCGACCATCTCAAGGGACAATATTTGTGTTTTGCACCGTTTATGTTGCAGAAAAAAAAATAAACCATTCATTTTATTAAATAGAGTTTTTAGTACAGTACAGGTTTATATTCAATACACACACCATATGAGACTGGAATAAATCATAAATACATATATATGCCTCATTATGAACACATTAAATATTGATTATGAGCTCAAAAGGTTAAAACATTAAAAAGTGTTCCATGTCAGTGGAAACCTCTAGCGGATGTTTTCAGCCTGTCATCCCCTCCTCCATCTTGCTCTGTCCATCCTGTCTCTGTGACTCTAACCATCTCTCTCTCTCTCTCTCTCTCTCTCTTATCTCTCTCTCCATCTCTCTCTCTCTCTGCCCCCTCTCTCTGAGTGATCTCTCAGCTCGCATCATAAATTAACATCCCTCAATTCTTCCCTTTGCATCAAAGGACAGTTGTGAGTCTCAGGTGACGGGCGGGGAGCATCAAGGCCTTGCATCAATTTCTCGTCAGTTTCTCCTCACGTGTTGTTTAGTCTCGCTCTCTATCTGTTGTTCTGCTGCTACTGAACATCACTTATCCAAATGAAATGATCTCTCCTCCTCGTCGTTCTGAATTAGGCCCGGGGTTTGTGGCATTCATTCAGTCTATTTTTAGTGGTCAGTCTCCCTTGGCTTTATTGGCTGAGCATTACGCCTCGCCAGCTCAGGATGTAAACAAACATCGGCGCTGAAATGTCACTGGATGTGGTGTTATTTTCATGTTGATTTTTTTTTTTTTGAAGGTCCTCATCAAGCATTAATTAATATTTATCTACACACAATCAGGCCCTGAATGTAAATGTGAAAAATTATGAAAAAAGTCGAGAAAGTTGATTGCTTGTCTGCAGGGGTCTCTTGTTGCAATCAGCTGACATTTTAACCACAGAATAATTAACATTCTCCTAAAGTTTCATTATTATTGTTTAAAAAACAAACTTCCTGCATCCAGTATGTGTGGTGGATAAAGCTTCATAAAGTAAACAAAACAGGGAACAAACTTTCCTTATGGGTGGAGATTAGAAAAGGTTAGATTTAGTCCAGTCCAGTACATCTTTTATTGAACGTTCATGCAGTTGTTCATTGCATACACATAAATGAATGAATTAACAGTGTATAATGTACTGCAGAATAATAAACTGAAAGTAATGGAGTATGTGCAGAAGAATTACCATACTTTTACTTTGTACACTGCAAAAACTAAAGTATTTTATACAATATGTTATATAATGTTATATACAGGTCAGTGTAATATAACCAATTATATACAGATCACTGCAAATAACAAATATTTATACAAACATATGGGGCAGCAGTAGCTCACTCTAGGGACTTGGGTTGGGAACCGGAGGGATGCCTGTTAAAGTCCCAATGGGGACAAAAATATAGAAGTTCGTTTAGTGGCTGGAGAGGTGCCAGGTCACTTCCTGAGCACTGCAGAGGAGCACTGAACCCCCAACAGCTCCGGCCGGCTCCCTGTGTAGCAGACCCACTCTGACTTCTCTCCATTAATGCATGTCCAAAGGTTGTGTTTGTGCATGTGTGTATGTTTTGGGCCTATGTGTGTGAGAAGCATGTCTCTCAGTAACAGCGTGTAAAACCAGAATTTCCCTCAGGGATTAATAAAGTTTGTACCAAAACAAATGGACACTCATGAATGTATAGCAGCAGTGCTCAGGAAGTGACCTCTCCAGCTACCAGACCAACTTCCAGATTTGGTCCGCACCGAGAATTTAACCGGCAACCCTCCGGTTCACAGCCCAAGTCCCTACAGACTGAGCTACTGCCGCCCCAACGTAATTGTATGTGATCGATATGAGTCGCTTTCGCCCAGTATTGGGTGGGTTTCAAGTAAGTTAGAACTTATTTTGAGCCACATTTGGAAGACGCAGAGCAAGTGTGTTTTTAAATAACAGATTTCCTCATTATATCTCTAAAACCATTCTATCTCTCTTCTTTTGTTTTTTTCTTCTAGTGGGATACCGGGAAAGAAATGTGGCACCATCATAGTGAGAGCAGAAGAGCTGAGCAACTGCAGGGTAAGAGTCTGTCTGGCTTCCCTGTTGATTCATTTAAGGCACTTTTTCCTCTAATTAACCAGTGACAAGCCTCTACTAATCTGAAGGAAAAAAAAAACATATTAAAAAACTTTTGGTTTAGACCTAAAACTTTCTTAATTACTAAATAATTCCTTTGTGACACAAGTCTGGTTTTAATAAGAACATTTTGCTTCAGGTTCTACACTTGTTAACAATTTCACACCAATTAAACAAACTTCAACTCTCCCTTTGACTAAAGCCCGGCACACACATGACGACACATAATGACAGGTTTAGAGATATCCAACTCAGCACAACACACACTAAAGGAATCATTCACCAACGACCAGAGTCTCGACACTCAAAACGTGAAATTGGTCATTGGTCAAACGAGACTTAAGATTACACAAACAAGACGGTTAAGCTAAATGTGGCTAGCTGTTAGCAATTTCAGTCCAATCCTTGTCACTTGGATTGTGGCTTGTTTTACAGGACATTTTTGTATAAGCACTTGTGTTTTTGCCACAAATCAAGCATGCTTCGCGTTTGCTGTCGTCGCCGTGGTGATGTTTGTTGCGCTCCTCTCCATTGATTTTTCCTCCTGCCACGATTTAACAGTTTGGGCTCCTGATTTTTACCAAAATATTAAAATGTGTTTTTTGCCTTGATACGAGCTTGGGATATCATTTGATGCTGACATATATTAAAGTATACCTTCATATAATATCACTGTCTTGCTGTTATGGTAGGCTGTATGCAGAGATGGACAGCGCGCCTTAGCCTCCTCGCGTTGTTCAAAGATGGAGTCAAACTACTTTTTATCTGCAGCAGCTGACATATTGTGCATTTGGAGTCTGTTCAGCAGTGATCGGCTGGAAGTGCTGTGGTATTGACGTCAGGCCACTTCTGTTAACAAAAGCACACATTGAACTTATCGATAAACCAGCAAAAATCCTCCGGGTCGTTACAGTCAGCAGCAGAGCAGATTCTCGTCTCAGTTTGAAGCAAACGATCGCCATTATGTTAAGTTCAATAAGTCATGTGTTTGTGTTCTTCATGTGTCTTGTTCCCTTTACTCCTCTTCTCTTTTAACCCTGTGCACACAGCTCTTCAGGAGCCACATCAGTCAACAGAGCTGTCAATCACACCATTGTATGCCTTTTTTATAGCATCAAATAACAAATTAAAGGAATAGTATGTAGAATTGTCTGACAATATGTACATTAAAATATCGAAATTCATTAAAAATGGACTAAACCTATGTTAAAAAATGTTTTTTGTTAAGTGCAGTACTTAAATGACCTAAAATATTTCCAACAGTTATAAAAGTAAGAGAAATCAGTAATTTAAGAGTTGTAACGGGACGTGTCTTGTCAGGGCAGCCGCCATGTTTATCGCTGCCAAGGAAACACCGGATGTTACGTCAAAGAACGCTGCATAAGGAAGCGGAAGTTGCTACTGAAAGTGTATCTCCTGCTGTGATAAAAACGTCATATAAATAAACACTTAAACTATCAAAACAAAAGCAGGGTTTGAGCAGCAAAACATTTAACTTGTATTTTGATTTTAAAGTTACTCCCATGTCCCATCTGCCAACATGGGGGAGGCGGGGTTTATGACCGATACTGTAGCCAGTCAGAAGGGGGAGCTCTACATTTATTAGCTCCACTTGAGGCGAGGTTATGTACTGTCCATTCTTTATACATTCTATAAAGATCCAATAAGCTTCATCAGGAATAAGAGTCTCACTCACACAGAGATTCAGTTTTATTTTCTATCAGCTCTGAAGAAAAAAAAACTTTTGTTCATGTTGTAAGATTTCAACAAATGCAAGCGAAACCAATTTTTAGTAACATTTTTATGAGCCAGACTCTTATTTGAATCCGTCTTTCTATTAAACCTCAGACATTTGGAATTTTTTCTAAAACTAAGTATCTGGGAAACCATCTTTCCATTTGGGGTCCTATTTGATTTGAAGTGTGTTTCTGCCACCTCGAGATGCGTCACCTCCTCCAAACAAGATATCTGCAGTTGAGGTGGATGTCACATTCTAGTGTCCTTCCCTTCAAATCAAAGAGAAATGGCTCTGAGCTGTCATTTTTGATTCAACGTATCGACCAGCACGAGGAGAGAAAACCATCGTGCAAGAGGCAGATGCATCAATTTCTCTTCTGACATTTCTCCTCATGCAATATGTATGCATTGTAGTCATCAGAGAAGTTGGCACAGAAGTCTGACATCTCTTTTGCTGGGTGCTTTCCAAACACATCCGAGGAAACAAAAGAAAACGGCCTACTTAACAAGCAGAACAGAGGAATTCAATGAGATGAGGAGCATCAATACAAACACTTAATTAAAACGGAATCCCTGCACATCATTGCATTTTACATTTAAGGAGCTATCATGAAAATAAATGTATTCATTTATTTATTTCACACACAGGAAAACAAACACGGTACAAGTAACATAAAAGCATGTGTGTGTGTGGTAGAAACCTACTGATGGTTTGTATTAAAACCCAGAAGAAGAAAAGGTAATGAAAAAAGCACCAAAGCTAATTTACAAGTGTAACAGTTATGTCAAGATAAAATTAAGCCCAATAATCTTTATTTCTACTTTGTTTTGCTGGAAAGTGAGAAGTCAGAAAGGACAAACGACAGGAACAACATGCACTATCCTTTTCATATAAATATATGTTATATTGTTCCCGTCTTACCTTTCAATTATAATAAAGAATTCAAAAGAAATTCACTCAAAAGCCGCCTCGCCTAACTGAGCGTCTACCTCGAGCACAGGCAGGTGACACGCAGCGGCCATGTTCAGCTCTACGGTTGTCATGACCACAGAATTTTCAACTTCGATTCAATACGCTCAACTGTCATATCTCTGAGATTAAGACATAAAGAGGCCCAAATTAAATCTTAAAAAAATACCACAGCAACAACAAATAAACCTCCTGTGCACTGAAACATTTATTTTCCTTTTTTTACAGCTGTTACAGAAAAACTCACTGAACACATAACAACATTAAAAATGTATCGTAATATGTATCACATCCTGAGGCCCTGTCCAATACCCAGCTTAAAGGCCTTTGCGCACTGAGTCTGTTTCTTTCCGATGCGTTTTTTTGTTCACTTTTCTCCTCTGATGTTTGTTTTTCAGGAGTCGGTGATGCTGCAGTTTTGTGGCAACAAGCTGGACAAGAAGGATTTCTTTGGCAAATCGGATCCCTTCCTCGTCTTTTACCGCAGTAACGAAGACGGATCGTAAGTTGACAAGCTGCTTGCCCGTGGTTTATTTGGACGTCAATTTGCTGAATTATCAGAAGCAGCCATCTCAAGCTGAAACCAAAACACATGTACACAGCATGTAAATATGTCTGAGTGTGAGTGTTTTTTTTTTTCATGCTCCAAAAAGCTTCCATACAGAGGATATAAGGTCTAAACTGCCTATGTGATGTTACATAATTCTCTGTGCTGTATATGTGACTTATGGCGTCCAGCCGCTAACAGGAGAAAGCGGCAGGAGGAGGGATGAGCAGAGATAATAGATCGGAGCTGACAAGAGGAAAATAAAGGGAGAAAGGATGGATAAGATTGAGTTAAGTGAAGACTGTATGCCGGGGTCGCAGTTTCTTTTGCCCCGCAGATGCTTTTATTCAGGTCGACTTCAGCGTCTTAGAGGAGACACACTTTCTCTCTTTGTGCAGCTGGGTATTTAGTGAAGCAGCCTAAATGTTCAGCCGCAGGGTTTAACAGCCGCACGCCACGCGTACAAAGAGCCAGACTAGGTGCCACACAGAAAAAGAGCAGGAAGTGGTTATTTTAGCCAAAGATCATGCTTTATGGAAAGCTCTTAAATATAAAAACTACCTTTGATAACAAAGAGACAAGGTCCATCAGCGTGTACAGAGCAGTCTCACCACATTTATACATAGCTGTCTTGTCTTAACAAATAACAGGCTGCAGTGCAGTAAACAGGAAGGACAATGCCAACTTCTTCTTCTTCTTCTTAATTCAATCCAAATGTTTTCATAAAGCTGATTTTAAAACAACAGAAGCTGACCAAGGTGCTGAACATTCTCAAATAATCATCATGTTTTGCATCCAGATGAAGCTTTATCTGCAGAATCTCATCACAATTGACTCTGGCCAAAGTGACCGGTAGATTTTTATCTCACTTGACTTTGATTCAGAAAGAATAAAAATGAATACAAATGAACTCGGTGTAGCTTTGAACTGGATCTAAACTGCTCTCTGTGCTGCTGATGTATCAGCCCCCTCCGCTACATCGCCAGGACGCCTTGACCATTGAGAATTAGATGTTTTAGCCTTGCACCAAAGATTATTTGATCAGTACTAGAACAACTCTGTGGGGACTCATATGTCAAAAGCCGAGTGAAAGCAATAAATGACTTGAATTGTAAGTACAATTGTAAGACATAGCTCAGTGACCAGTTGCAAGTTTTTACATTTTGGGGGCTTTCTTTCCTTTTTTCAATAACTTGCAATGACCAAATACCACAGGACGGTCATCAGAGAGTGTAAGGAATAGGAAGGGGAAGGAAGAGAAAGCTCTCTGAACAGTTTGAGGCTACTTAGCGGTAACTCAGCAAAGCTAGCTAGCAAAGCTGACCAGCTACAGTTATTCACTACGTTGTAAAAATGCCACTAAGCTTCACAGACCTAATGCTGGGATGACCAGCTTTTCTGCAGCCTGCTACCAGCTGTCAATCAAGACAGATACAGATACTGACAAAGCATTCAGCCTGCTGAGATGGATAAAAAAAAAGCTGTTCTGCTTTTTCATTGAAGACTTTTATTCTTCCTTGTTTATTGTTAAACTATATTGTATTTCAATTGTGGATGACTGGTGTTGAAAGTAGATGTAGCACCTGCTAACAGCTTTTGTATTTCTGACAGGTTTACCATCTGCCACAAGACAGAAGTGGTGAAGAACACTCTGGATCCGGTGTGGCAGGCATTTAAAATTCCTGTCAGAGCGCTGTGTAACGGAGACTACGACAGGTACAGTTGAAGACTGAAGGAATCCCACAAACATAAACGTTTCCCTGATAATGTTATTAATGTAATGTTAAAACTATTTTATCATATATCTATATCATCATTTATTTTATTTAAATCCTCGGAAAACCCTAATTTGCAATGGTGCCAAGGTACAAAGAAAAGAGGCAAGATACAAGGTTATTAGTAAAAAAAAAATTGTTAGCTAACTAACTAGCTAGCCTAGCATCGAAACTATCCGTTTGTATACAGCGCAGAGGGGCAGGAAGCATTGCCATAGTAACAGCGAGTCGCTGTGGCACTGTGATGGTGGGCAGTGTGGTTCTTTTCCCGCGTTTTCGTGAATAAACAAGGATTTTATTAAAACGAGGATGATATCATATGAACTCCTTTAATAGGGTTGCCACCTTCCAAGCAGAAAAATAAAGGACACCCCACAGCGGGGTGCAACTCAGTAGGGGCCTGACCACCACTGGCCCAACGGTGGTGTGGGGCACCAGTGGTGGTATATCATGATTTAAAACGTTGTTTTAATGAAGTATTAAGAGTCATACTTTGTCGTATGACATCATGCTTTATTAAAGAGCCCATATTATGCCCTTTTTGGGGTTCGTATATTTAATCCATGTACCTACTTTTGTACATTCACAATAGCTGAAGTCCGAAAAAAGTGTCTGTTTTCATGTACTGCTCCTCCTTGCTCCCTCTACGCTCTGAGTCCGTTCGCTACACTCTGTTGAGCCCACACTGTTAGACCCCACGTCGTTATTGGTCAGTTGCTCAGTATGTGTCTCGGAAATTTCAACATGAGCTGCAGGGCTTGCCACAACGAGCCAATGGGCTTAGATCAGTGATCTCACACTGACAATGACGTTGCACTGACAAATTTTTATCGAGGGGGGCTAGAACCGAGCGTTACATGCGGGTAATGCTACAGCTAACAGGAGGACGTAGGAGAAGCCGCATTTGGAAAACACACTAAAGGGCATATTAAACCAGAAAAAGCATAATATGGGACCTTTAACACTTTTTTTCCAAAATAATTTACAAACAAAAAACGTAAGTGTAAAGGCAGATACAGTAATGTATGCACAATTAAATGCACCTAACAGGACTTCAGCAGATTACTTTACTTCTTACTACTAGCTAGGCCTATTTAATTTACAACTTAACTTAAACTTTAAATAAAGTTATTCACTTAACATTGATTCATGAACAGAGTATTATTGAAGTGCTTTTAACACTGCTGTAACATAGAGGGGAGGAGTAGATGTCCAAACTATACTGGAATAACCTATCTATAAACATCGGAAAAAATATATTAAGTAGGCCTACAATAGTTTTCTTTAAATGATCTTCATTTTCACTGACATTGTCAAGCCAGGCATTACTTTCTACTCACGTCTGTATTTCTGAATCCGATTATGTTTCAATGGTGCACGGTGCGGGTATCAGAGGCAGCTGCAGACATGTTTCCTTCTGACTCGTATGACTTTCTCTCACCCAATCACTAAAGAGCTCTCATTGCTCATGCCAAAAAAGAACCAAACAAACCAACGGACACTCTGAGGGGGCGGGAACTAGCCGGCTGAATGTGGGCGGAATGATGCTGAGTTCAAGGCATCTTGGAAATACGGGACAAACCGCGTTTAATTCAAAACGGGACACAATATCAAAGTGTAAAATACGGGACGATTCCGTATTTTACAGGACGGGTGGCAACCCTACTCCTAAAGGAGCATATACCATCGATTCACACACAGGTAGCTCTTATTTGTATTTCCTTGGGTTACACCAGGTTGTTCTAACAACGACCTTCAAATGAATACTCACTGACTCTCCTCTCACATTACGTAGGCCTGACCACTTAAGACGCCAGCCTTCCACGGACCAGTTTCCAGCCTTTTAAGCAGAAAGACTGTAAATCTAATGGATGCTAATTGGTTTTTAATGGGATTTTCTCTCCTTTCGTCCCTTTCGTCCTTTCCTGTAGGAGCATTAAGGTGGAGGTGTACGACTGGGACAGAGATGGAGGGTGAGCGAACGATGCTTCTACTTTTTCTGCACTACAGTTTCTTTAATAATGTCTTCATGCCATTTTTAAATTAAAAGATTCATTTTTTACCTGATCCCACTGATATGCTCCCAAAACATTAAAACTCTGAACATTTAAACACACAGTTTGTCAATTACTCTGCCAGGGGGCTCTCAATCAATCCCCCCGATGAAAACTAATCCTGCTTAGACCATCGTGAAGATGAACGGGCGAGACCGACCTGAGGAAGAAAATATACACAAGTATAATTTACATGGCGTTTTTAACAAAGCAGCACAAACAGCAACAGTGCGGCAGCTTTCAGTAACAGCTCCCGCTTCCTTATGCAGCGTTCTTTGACCCAACATCCAGCGTTTCCATGGTAACGATAAACATGTTGTCTCTGTCATGGCGGCTTATCAGGAGGGCCGCCACAACAAGACACGTCCCTTTCCAACTATAAAATGACTGATTTCTCTGGCTTTGATAACTGTCGGAAATATTTGAGGTAATGTAAGTACTCAACCAAAAATATACAACATCCAGTAGGTTTATTCAATTTTTATTAATTTAGATATTTGAATGTAAACATTCTAATAAAATTCTACATATTATCCCTTTAAGAGCATAATGTGCAAACTAGGGAAGCACTTTGGGGATTATTGTCACAAATCCCTCTCAGAAATGTCTGCCCTTGCTCCCCCTCTTGTTTGTCTCCGTACTAGTTTGGTAGAATATAAGCATAGAGTGCTACATTTCACATCACTCCCCGCTGCTTTAAAATCATATTAGCTGTTAATACTGCTCGGAGAGTCTCTTGACAGATTACTTAATATTGTCAGCTGGGGAATAAAGACTGTCAAAGCTAGTGAATTCCCAGCATTCAGGGCCATCGTTTGCCCCCCCGCCTCGTTATTTTCACAAGACTTTTTGTTCACATTTCAAGGACATTTGGCCCTGAGCCCCGATTTATTTCTGACCCCGAGTCCAACCACGTTGATTATATCCATGAAATTATGAAATTGGTTGCTACACCCACGCCTCCGGTTGCCAAGGAGCTTGTTAGTGCTCCCCCTGATTTTCCCTGCACTTTGAAGAATACTTTACTGCACTACAAAGACATTAAAAAATCTTTTGTCCTTAAGCAAGCACCTTATTCTTTTAACCATTTTATGGGCTTCTGAGCTTTTAATGACACAGCATCATTACAGAGGGGGTTATTCTCAGCTGTAAGGAAATCTGAACTGTGTCTTTGTTTTACAGCCACGACTTTATCGGAGAGTTCAGCACCAGCTACAGAGAAATGTCCAGAAGCCAATCACAGTTCCACATCTACGAGGTAAAAATCAGATACTCAAACAACACCTTACATTTATTACAAAACAACAAACTGACAGCTTTGCAGCCGTATCGATTCTGTAACATCTGCATGGATACATGTATTTGCAAGGAGCACATGATGATATATTGCCATGTTGATTTTTTTAGCACAGCCCTAACTGGGGTCCCATACTTCCTTACCTTAAAGGATTTTTTTTTATCCTTGGGCCCTTACCTTTATGACCTTAAACTAAAAGTCCTTGTTTTCAGAGAGCTGTTATTTCAGAAAATATTTCATTTGCCATCTAAAGTCCTTGTTAACTGAAAGAGTGAAACACAGCTCGGATCGAGGAGAGGTGCAGGTAACAACTGTAAGACAAACTCTTTCTTTTTATCTTATCTAAGTAACATAGAAATGACACAAAGCCGTGTCCTCTGAGCTTTATAACTGCACAATGTGAATTCTTGAGAGTTGAGTTAATAGGAGGGCTGGAAGCTTTCTTGTAGACTCACACTGTGCTGATATTAGTAGAGAGGGAGGGGCTAAGCTGAATGAAGAAATTGAATGAAACCAGTCGTCCTGCTTGAACTTACGCTGAGCTCCATTTTAAACCTTTTTTTTTTCTCTCTGGGAGACCTTCAAAAACAGACTGCGTCTTATAAACCGGTGCAAGTTTTATTCCAGATTTTACAGTTTACAAAATATCTTATCCCACCTTTGCTTTTTTTTTTCCTTTGCCAACGCTTCTGTTAGTACGAATTTTCATGAAATTCATTAATCTTGTAACTTCGTGAAATGTATTAATCAAGTCTGCCTACCACCTGTTAACACTCCTACTTTTAGGTGTCTGAAGCTGTAAACTTATATGAGTGAAGCACCTAAGTAGTAGCAGATCTATGTTTGGATAGGAGCCAAGCATATGTTGTCAGCAACTGTTTGCTAGACAGAGAGTCTACAGTTGTTACGTATACAAATCAGTGTCATGTCATCTTTATTGTTTTATGGTGATGTACCCAAATGGAAAGGAATTTGTGGGTTGCACCTTTTTGACAGAATATAAGCAGCACTGTGAACACTGTTACTTTGTCAGCACTTTGTCAGTCAAGTGATTTGGAAGCGTGCTTGTTTGATGAAGTTGTCTGACCTCGGCCGATTAAACGGTGTTATAATCTCCAGTCTGTTTCACGATTTCTTCATTGGATTTATACAAACAGAAACAACCCCCACCTAACAGCTTCCTTATTAAACCACCCAGTGACACAAACAGTGTTTCTGCAGCTGGCCTGGTGTAACCTCTGAACGTGGATATTTAAAGCACAACTTTTATAAAGTTCTTTCTCTTCATATATGCCCTCCTCACATCTCGAGAAAAACACACATTATTAGAATCTGCTCCATCTGTAATTGCAGCACAATCAAAGGCTGGGCTCACTGCTTGTTGGCAGACTTTTGGCATAGTGCTGCCCACACAGTGCGGGGGTATCCATGAGCTCAGGATAATAAAAATTGAAAAACAGCCGAGAAGACAAAACATAACAGAGGAGGTGTCAGGAGAAAGCAGTTTTTCCCAATTATGTGAACACAACTCCTCTCTCTCTTCTCCTCCGATGGTACACCTCATGTCTCCTGTGTCTTCTTCATCTCTGGGTCTTAAAAACGGATAACGAGCGGCAAAACTAGACAAACGCGTACACCAGAGCTTGGCAGTGGACTAATGAATTGTTTGTAGATATACCAATGTTGATTTATGTTACAGTAAATGACATAGATCTGCTAATTTAAAATTGAGACACATACTCAATTTGAAATATAATTAGTTCCTGAGCACAGCAAACATTTCAGAGATCAATCCTCAAGGTGAACCCGTTTTATCCAATTTGGGTGCTGTGTTTCTATTGGGAGTGCACCCCATCCTCATACTTATTCAGCCGTTATTTCATTGATTTTAAGGGACTATACAAAAAGTATTAAATGTAAAAACTTCTCTCTCTGGTCTATATTTCAGTTACAGTCACTATACTTGCATTGCACATGCGGAGGAACGCGTCAGCAGTCATAAGCTGACTTTATAACAGGAGGTTACGCCCTGGTTGGAATACATAATGGCACACAGTATATGTGTTCGAGCGAGGGCCGTTTCCTCAAAGACCGACTTTTGACTCTTCTTCTAACGCTCACATGCAGCTCAGTGAGCGGGCTATTAACTTCGACACCAGCCGCATGTGCGCAAACCATAAACCACTAAAGGTCAAGACTCAGCAAAGGTGCTTATGGAGCACAAATTGAATCACTAAGTGTGCAGTCAGGAAGACAGGGTGCTCGCTCTCTCTCCAAACGTGTAATATCAGCCCATCAGCCTGCATGCTGTCTCTGCATTTCTCTGACTCTGCTCTGTGCTGGATTAAATCCAGATGTTTGACATGAAACACCTGAGGCTCAGATTTAAAGCAAGCATTAAAGGAGTGTGTGACATTGAATCAAATCTGGCTCTGATAATTTTAAAAAGTGTGAAGCGTACAAACTGGGTTGCAACTGTTATAATGCAATATTACTACAGTTGTTATAAAATGTTTTATTTAGAAGAACTCTAAAGAAATAAAAACAGAAGGAGCATGCAGGCTTATAAAAAAAAACACACCTTTGTGTTTGAAAATATGTTATGTCCTTATACCCTAGATTTAGAGGAAGAATGAGTGACTTTTTGATCCAGTGGATTTCGCTCTTGAGCACCAGCATTAAACCAAAACAAGTTGCTGTTTGACGACACCTCCGCTAATCTGAAGCCTCCGCTCTCCTCCAGCGATACACCTCCAACCTCTCTCCACTCATGTTTGCACAAAGGAGTTATCAAATTGGAACGCACCATAATTAAGCATTGAGCACTAAGCTCAAGGGGCGGACAAAAAGGTCCCTGTCTCGAGCTGCATTGTTGTGATAGCAGGCTAATGGTAGCGCTTATGTGATTTTCAATGAAAGCAGTGAGTACAGTATGTTATTCTTCCTTTCTCTAGTCCCTCAATTAAACATTTTTTATACGCAAGTGTATGAGCCGGCCGGCCGCCCCGTCCATTTAAACACGCTGTAGATACGGCTCAGACAGCATCACAGCGACTTGCCTGTCTCACTCATTGTAGACAGTCATGACTCACAGAGATATTTACAGAGGAAATACATACCGGTACTTGATGTCTGTTTTATTTATGTGTAAAATGTTGCACATTCTGCCTTTAAACTATTCAAATAGCACTGCTAAATCAAAATTCAACACCCTACATTAGACACATTTCGTACTATGATGAACTGTGAATCTAATACTGCTGCCACTCGTTCTTAAAATACTTAAATCAAAGAAAGCACAGCGTCTTAATATCTCCATAACCAGGGCGAACATCATGAATAAGACATGATCAATTTAGAGATGAGTATCCTTTGTAAAGGATCCTTAGCAATCATTTTTGTTTTTTGTTCAAGAATGCTGCGCTAACAACTTTTTTGTACTTTCCCTGTAATGTTGATATTTCTTGAAACGTTTCTTTATTTCATGCTCTCTCTCTCTCACGCTCTCTCTCTCTCTCCCTCTCTCTCTGTGACTTCTGAAACGAGTCGAGTTCTACTGAACCCATAAAATGACATGAGTCAGAAACTCTTGCTGCCACTTTGTGCTCAGACACAACAAACAGGATTCATGGTCGTGTTTCATTTTCTCCACAGGTGCTAAATCCAAAGAAAAAAGGAAAGAAGAAGAAAAAATACCAAAACTCAGGAACGGTGAGTGGCGACATCTTCTCCAGCTTTCCCTGATGTTTTATTATTTAGACACTGAAGCTGCTCTTATTTTGAAGGGCCCTTTGTGTTCTCCCTAATAGTTATTCAGTGGTTATTGGATTTGTTGATGTGTCTTCAACTTAACTGTGCTGTCTTGTACACAACAGTTTTGTTTATAGTTTTAACAAAAAGTGACAGAGATCTCAGAAAGGTAGAGGATTGTGTCTGACAACAACACCACATCAAAACGTCTCAACCTGTTTGTTTCAAAAGAGCGTTTAAGAGAAGACACAGATCTGATCTAACAACGCTATCAGCACCACTATTCTAACCATCGCAACTCAAAACTGTATCATTCCACCTTAATAAGACTTTGCTGTCTGGCAGGTCACCCTCCTGTCCTGCCTGGTGGACACCGAGCTCTCCTTCCTGGACTACATCAGAGGCGGGTAAGTTAACAGTGAACGGCGGCAGCGTTGAGATCCAGAGTCACTCGTAGTTAGTGTTAGACTCTGCACAGAGGAGAACTGCACCATTAGCTTCAATATTAGGACAGACAGCTGCTGATAACCCGCTGCTTAATTGCTCGCTGCTGCATGCTTTGCAACATGCTGTGGTATAATGTGGCTTGATTGATGATTCCATGTTAGTCCTGACTTGATTTATTTTCTCCTGTAGGACTCAGATTAATTTCACGGTGGCAATTGATTTCACAGCATCAAATGGTGAGTGTTTTTAAGCCTTTGCTCCTATCAATTAAATCCCTTAAAGTGTGTCGAACAGATAAAACTTTGGTGGTTAATACTCAGATCTTGATTTGACGCGAGGACTAAAGGGATTTCTTATCAGTCAGTTTTAATTCCCTCTTTCTAATGATCAGTTTTTGCTGAGCTAGAGACAAAAAAAAAAAAAACAAGTAAAAAGTTGGACGTTTATTCGAACGCCATCTGTCTCTTGAAACATCTGATCTCAGATTGATGTTTCTCATTAACCACATGATGTTCAGTTGTTGCCTCAGTGTAGACCGCAATGTGCCCACACCCACGTTTCTTCAAATTAAATTTCCAAATGTAGTCAGTGTTTATGAAGCCCCACAGGTAAACAGCTGTACATTTGTCAGGGAACATAATTGACGGTCACCAAAACAAACAAAACGAGCAATTCGGCGGTGTAGACTTTGTCACAAATGAGCGATGTTCTCATTTCAGTTAGAGATGATTCAGTAAGTTCATGTTTGTAACACAATTGTGGAGACACAGGAAGAAATGGATGGCTTTCATTACTGCCATCAAATCAGTTTCCCACATTCCCGTCTCTGAGAGTGGGTGAACTAATAGTGATATTATGCATGTAATTACATCATGTCTGAAGTTTGTCTTTGAGCCCCACTTGCTCATATTTGCATGATTATTAACAGAAGTTGAGACAGAATATAAAATATGTATAACACTATTTTATTTCATCTATTTAATATAATGTAAAGCAACCTGTTGACATGTTTTGCATCTTAAAAACATAAGTCCTGATTAAACCAACAAACTACTGATCCAAATGCCTTTTTTTTCCCTCTGTGCCATAGAGCTCCATTGTTGTCCATAACAACTGTTAGGAAAACATCAATTGAGCGCATTGTTGCACTGGGTTACATATCCCTTCATTATGATGAAAATGGGAGCTTTGGTTTGATTTTCTTCATTGCCTCACACACCATTGGGTGCTTTGAATCTCTCACACGGGGACCAAATATGTGATAATCTTCAGGTGAAAACAATTAAAAGAATAAAATTAAAAAAATGTATTCCTCCTTCAGAACATTGGATACGTTCCCAGCCGGTGAAAGAATTGGCCGAGGCATTTTTAGAAAACAAAACTACATACTTTTCATCCATTATTAGACTTTCCTGTCAACAGAAAGTACAAACGGTCTCAGGTCTGAATGCTACAAACTAAATATGAATGTGTAAAAGTACTTCCATGTAAACTGAAACATAGTTGAGTTGGGTCTTGCATTGATGTTGAAAATAAACTTATATTAATGTCTAGTCCACACGTTGACAGGTATTTTTCTTTTAATGGAGGTTTTCCAAAAAGAATCCCGTAGACACGCGCTAAATTCTCAAAAACGTCTACGTCCAAAAATGCAGTTACAGCTGTCATAATAATAATAATAATAATAACTTTATTTATATAGCACCTTTTAAAAACACAGGTTTACAAAGTGCTTTGACAAACAGCAAGAACAAAGCAAACTAAACCAAACACAGAAAAACATTAACAACAGTAAGAATATAACAGATGCAAAATACCAAAAATAATTAAAAACAATTCAACAGAAAAGAACCCAAAGTGCACGATACACAACCAGACATATATAACCCAACCATCATAAGAACCATCATAAGAACCCAGGAACACAAGAACCCAACATGAGCTGAGACCAAGAGGACCAAAGATTTAAAAAGATGTAAGAAACTAAGAGATAAAAGCAAATAAAAAGCAATGAGAAGGTAAGTGCAGTAAAAGAAATAAAAACAAGTGGTTAAAGGATCAAAAAACCCAAAACTATAATATTAATAAAAATAAAAATTAACTATAAATACGAAACATAAATAGACAAAGTAAGTAAGATAAGAAATTACCAAGTTAAAACACAAGAGGAGATTAAGATATGAGCATAAATACGAGATAAGACCATAAATAAAAGACAGTAAGAAGTAGAAGAAGATAAAAATAGTAAAACCAGTAAGAGAAGACATTAAGAAGACGACATCACATAAAAGCAAGTCTATAAAAGTATGTTTTAAGAAGGGATTTAAAAGAATTGAGGGAGTCTGCGAGTCTTATCTCCTCAGGGAGGTGAGGAGATAAGACTCGGTGAGGAGTTTTTGACATGGCCATGCCAAGTCAAAAACGATGTCCTAGACATGCTAAAATGTTCTCGCCATTCCTCTGCAATGACCATTTCATTTTTCAAAGTTATGCATTCAGGCGACTCTGCTCGTCAACATAGTGGGAGCACTAGTTTGGTTATCGCACTAATTTCATTTCAAACACATAAACACCTTAAACTGAGTTTGTGGAAATCGTCACCCTGGAAGGAGTTTTCATCTCAAAATCAGTTAAAAAAAAACCTCAAGTAGGTCAGGAGCTAGAGTTGTAGTGGTGATACCCAAAATCAAGACCAAGCCATGACAAGCATGTATCCAGACCAAGACTTTCAGAGATTGAGGGGAAAATCAAGAAAACTGAAGCCAATATTGAAAAAAACGACAGTCTATTTAGTGTCCACTTGAGGTTGGCTGTAAAAACCAAGGAATCCCCCTCACAGCCCAGTAGTCAGACCTCGGAGACCAAATATGGTTCTGGTCTTTTCCTTGTGGTCCAAAAATACCAACATGACAAATTCAAATTCAGCTTGCTTCTTTTTAGACAGAGAAATATTTTTTAAGTGCAAATTCAGAAGTTTAAATTGGACAACAATCACGTTTTCTGATTTCCTCATTTATGACTGAGAGGATCTCTTAGGCTCAGCAGGTCTCTGTAGCTCATTTTCTTATCAGGGTAGCAGACAAATTGCAAAAGTGGCTTCGTATTACTAAGCTATCCTATAAAAAAAATTGTGCTTCCTCACGCTACCCTCTGAGGTTTGAGGCATCCAGTGAGAATATTTCTGCCTCTGATGAAGCTGTGCCTTGGAGAAATGTTTGTGTAACTAAGACTCCAGTCTGCATTTTAACCCCCCTTCCACCCACTCCCCTCCTTTTTTTTTGTATCTAATATGACTCACAGCCCAGGGGGAGCGGGCATAATTACAGTTTGATGCTGATGTGTGTTATATTGTGTTGAACCATCCGGGTCTCAGGCAACCCGTCCCAGCCCACCTCGCTCCATTACATGAGCCCGTACCAGCTGAATGACTACGCCATGGCACTGCGGGCGGTGGGAGAGATTATCCAGGACTACGACAGCGACAAGTTGTTTCCTGCGCTCGGATTTGGGGCCAAGCTTCCCCCAGACGGGAGGGTCTCGCACGAGTTCGCCCTGGTGAGGAGACAACTTTTTCCAATCATTTGATCCATCCAAAGTCCAACCATTAATCTTCTTATATACACACAGAAATCCTCAAGTCATCCAATCATTCACAAACACTTACTGTGGCTCTGTTCCTCTAAGTTTACATACATATAGTAACTTTTATAATATCTTTAGGAAACATAAAAGGAGACTATCACTTCTATAAGGCTTTAAACAGGTCGGCTTTGGCATGAGATAGTAGTAAATATATTCACATCATCAAGATATATATAACGGCATAATAGCATGAAGGTTGCTTGGTTCTAACATCGCTCAAAGTTTTTCTAAAATTGTAGAAAGATGGAAGTGAAAAAAATACCAGTGAAACAAGACTCTATAGCCATGCTAGCAGCTGTGTAAGCATGTTTGAATACACAGCTTTCCTTCAAACTAAATGCTCATGTTAGAATGCTAACATGTTTAAAATGGCAACACTAACAGGCTTATAATAGTGTGCACCATGTTTGCCATAGTGGTGGGATAAAATATTACAATACCTAATAGAAGCACACATATTTGATATGGAAATAGTATATCTATGCATGGATACCAATGATCATATATCAAGGTATGCAAACACAAACTTCTGGTCCCAGATTTATAATACACCTGATTTTACAGTTCAATAGAAAGTGCAGAGTATTTGTTTTTGGGGCAATTCATTAAAATACCTGATGTAGTGTAATATATTCAACTGAGTTGTGCAATGTGGACTTTATTAGTTACATTAGTCATGGACAAGCAACATTAAGAGTTTATCTTTGACAGTGTTGGCCTGTCCTCCTGTTTGATAATCCAATTTTCTCGGTTCTTTGGCATGAAAGTATAGTCTACAAGAAATGTGGTGCTATTTTCAAACGGCATTAATATTAAGACTGGTAATATAAAACTGCTCTTTAAGACAGTACTCAGAATAAAACTTTTTAATGGCTTCTCTGCAACCCTCAAAGCAAAAACAACCTAAATATTTATTAAACAAAATACAAAGTTGAACTGGACAACTCTGTAAAAGTAAACTAAAAACAAAATGTTTGCAACCAGTTTTTTTTTTTTATACAGATGACCAATTATAGGCAGCAGCAGTGAAGGTGGATGGTAGGCGCTGAAGTCCGAAAGTATGAACAAGTCAGACAACTAGCCTGCGCACATTGTGGTGATATAGGGGGAGAAAAAAAGCTGCTTAGTATTTGGATGCAAACAAGCAATACAAATGGTCATGCAAAAGCATCAAAACGCTGTATATACTGTTCAAATACCAGTTTCCAATCGTACCTTTTGATAACACATGGAAATCACACACAGGGTATCCAGTAAGGATACGTTTATCAGGGGGATGTTGTTCAGTAGTAAGCTGATCAGATTTTGGCTACTGGATTTGATCAAATATTGAATATATTTTTGTTTTAATCAAAAGTAAGAAGAAAAAAAAGGCTTCTTGAAGTATATTAAATCCTGCAATCTTGTTTTGTTTTTCACCTACAGCCAAACCTAACAGTATGTTTTTGATATTCTTGTTTAATAAAAAATGTATCATCTATATTGACTGATGTAAATGTATTAGATTTTTACTTTAGTTTGGCCAACAAGACTATACTCAATACAGCAGCTTTCTGTCTCTGACCTAGATTAAACAGTTTTTAACGACTGAGACCTGGAGGAAATGTGTTCTCCATTCAACACCATCATCTTTCAAATCTGCAGCTTTTTAACTTTCATTTGTCATCCATCCATCCATCCATCCATCCTTCAGTTTTCCATCCATCCTTCAGTTTTCCATCCATCCATTCATCCATCTTCAGTTTTCCATCCATACACCCATCCATCTTCAGTTTTCCATCCATCCATTCATCCATCTTCAGTTTTCCATCCATCCATTCATCCATAAATCCATTCATCCATCTTCAGTTTTCCATCCATCCATACATCCATAAATCCATTCATCCAACCATCAATTTTACATCCGCCCATCCATCCATCCTTCAGTTTTCCATCCATACATCCATAAATCCACCCATCCAACCATCAATTTTACATCCATCAATCCATCCATCCTTCAGTTTTCCATACATCCATACATCAATTTTACATCAATTTTACATCCGCCCATCCATCCATCCATCCATCAATTTTACATCCATCAATCCATCAACCATCCCACGGTAAATTGATCCATCCATTTTTTCAACCACCCATCATTCAATCATCCATCCATTTTCTATCTGTCCATGCATCCTTCCTATTATTCATCCCTACATCCATCCATCAGGGATGATAATTCTTCCCTACATCCATCCGGTCAATCATCTTTCTATCCATTTAGCTCCTTTTATGTCACATAATACCTGCCGCTTGTCTCCGGACCACTCCCCAGCCTCCCATAAAGCTCCTCTTGGTCTACTGTCACTTCCAGATGTTGCTCCAGAGGCATTTACAGCCATTACATCTGCTCAGCGTTCAGTAACAGCCTCCCCAGAGGCGCCAGACCTTGAGACAAGGCACACACACATTACTCTTACCATTAAGGACTCAACTTAGTCAGCTCTTAAAAGAGGGGGACTGCAGCTGTGAAGCCGCAGTGGGGGAAAGCCACCACTGACTCCGACGTTATTATGCAAGCTCCATTTACAAAGCAAAGGAGTCTCAGGAGCACTGCCCGTACTCATGGGCAACCAAGCACAGTTAGTCAAGATGGTTTCATGCTGAGTTAATTAGAAGTCCCCAAAAAACATATGGGTAGCTTAAATAATGTACTTCTTTGTCCCTGAGTTTCTTTTTGGCTCAAAAGAAAGCCAGTCAACCAGACATTCATTTTTATATTTTCAAAGGGTGTAGAGGTAAAAAAACAAACAAAAAAAAAACACTGTGGTTCTTATAAAGACGAACTTAAAAGAAGACAGCTACCCTAACACAAAGATGTTTTTCTTCTTTGTACCTCTATTGCAAGACTAAAAGAAACACACACCAATTGATTTTTTTGAAAATGCTTCCCCTGGCATCCATCCCTCATGCTGAGTTAAAAATGTAAAACAGCTCCCCTCAGGATATTCTTCACTGAAAGGCTGCAGCAGAAGAGTTTAACTGTCGACATCTCTCTAAGATGTCCGTGATATCTTCAATGTAAGATTGGATTTTACATCCTGGAGGGCCTGTAACCCTCTAATGCCTCTTACACTGGGTAATATTTTTTGATAATATTGGAGTATTATTGATGCTTTGACCCTGGGGTGGCCATTTTTGATCTCTCTGAGTATGCTTGTAATTCTGTTATCCTTCAGTTTGCAACCAAATCATGCCTGTTTTTAAAATAAAAGGCAATTCCAGTTTAGCTTTCTTCCCATAAAGGGAGATAAAATCTGCAAATCTTTTTTATTTATATTCTCCTTCAGGGTGGACTGTTTTTCATTTTCGCTTTTATCTGCTCTGTCTCTGAATTTATCAAAACAAACTATTCTGAAATTAATTTTAGCTACAGTGCATGATGTAAAATTAAACTAGGTCCCATGTGAACCAAAAATAACCATAATGTAAGCACATAATTCTACTTGCCCTTGGCACATTTTTCAAAGTATTAGCTGTCTAACATGGAATCAATAATGGTAGCACGCTGTATATGAAAGTGGAAGATGCTGATGCACCAAAAGCAGGAACGTGTCTGAAGATACACAAAAGTTAAGATGAATCTTGGTACATACGGTCTCGTTTTTTTTAGAGTTCCAGAAATGACATAAAAGTGTTTTCAATCTCAAAGACAAAAGAGTGAGACCATTGTCTGTCCTTTATTTAACTTTGGTACAAAAAGAAGGAAAATGTATTGTCTGTGTGTCAGGCTTGGATTAATGGTACCAAGTGAGATTAGAAAAGACCAAAGGCTTTCTTGACACTTTGTGTAATCACAAAGTGTGTGAGATGTATTGCAGCCGCTCTTAAGATACATTTGATGAATATGTTATTGCCTTTCTCTTCTTACATGGGAAGAATTTGACAAAAAACAAACCTACAAAACAAGCCTTTTTAAAGGAAGAATGTGCAACTTTTTGATCCAGTAGATGTCGCCCTTGAGCACCATCATGAAACCAAAACAAACTTCTGTTTGGCGACACCTCCGCTATTCTGAACACTCCGCTCTCCTCCAGCGACACACCTACAACCCCTCTCCACTAGCGTTGGCAGTAAGGAGTTATAAATTAGAACTCACCATAATTAAGCAACTTTGAGAATTGTCCTTTGCTCGAGCTGCAGTTGCCTGTTTTTCTCTTTGTACAAGAAATAACACATGGTGTAATTACATCACACCCAGGAAAAGGTCATCTTATGCATTTTGTTTATAATTACTTGCAGTCGTCTTTTGATGGCCGGTTTGTCTGCAGCCACTTCAGTGTAATTGTGCTTCTCTCCTTGCAACCAGAAGTACTGTAGACCACACAGGTATTTTTTTTACCTGGAAGATTTACAGAAGAACATTAGAGCCAGGCGTAGTAAAATATGAGAGGAGGAATGCATTTTGAGTGAAGTGAAAAAGTTTAGAAAAAAGTCAGACTCACAGTTTAAGTTTCTATATAATAGAAAATAGAGTTGCACTGATTGTAAAAATCTAATACCGATGTTAAAACTAACAATTTAGCAAACTGCAGAGTCGGATATCTTTTCAGTGACTTCTTCATTTTTTTCATGTCTGTTTATAAATGAGCTATTGGATTTGAAGTATTAAAGATGTTAGTAGTACCTCACTGACACATGACTCACAAACTGATGTTTCTCAGAGATGATGTAAGACTCCCAAACTGCTGACATGTCCTTTCATGTTTAGAGTTTATCTAACAGGTGCTTTCGTCTGCCCTATCACAAACTTTTTGAATGTGCAGATAAACTATCTCGCCAGCATGAAATTGAATGCTCAACAGATACACATTGGCTACTGACATTGGAACACATTTTTCAGATAAGCCAATGACTGTCAACAGGAATGATATCGCCCGCTGCAGAAGTCCAACTGATCCGCTGCGTCATCCTTCATAAAAATACATCAGAAAAGGAAGATGAGGCTTTTTTGCATTATAATCGGGATTTTAAATTGTGAAGAACAAAGAGGGTTTTTGGACTTTAGAGAAGTATTTTTTCTTAAAAAAGGACTCTCAGTTTGACTCCAAAATACAGAAAACAAACACAGAAATTCTCCCCTGGCCCTCCCGTAGAGATCACTCTGGACGCCCACTTTGGGAACCACTGTATATATCCATATGTTCCTCCATTACTACTATCCTGAACATGAAGGAATTGTTCCTTTACATTTCCAATCAGCCCTTTAGAATAACATTATAAAGAAAAGGTGAAAAATAGATAATATTACAAATAGTAATTCTAACTCTGAAGTGGTGAATAAATGCATTTCATGACAATACTTGAATCAGGAAGCTTACTCCACCCATAAAGAGCAGCTTGCTCCTGCTAGCCTTGTTATACTCAAGCTCCAAAGAGAACAAGGTTATAAAGATTGACGTTCATGGCTCTCTGCAGCTTTCTCTTACTCTAAACACAAATCTATTTAAAACCACATTTTCACCTACGTTTCCCAAGAGACCAAGCCTCCACAGTCCTCTAATCAGATGTATTGACAGTGTGAAAATTACCTTAGATCCAAAGGTAACACAGTTGGTGTTTTTAACATGTACATTTCTGTATTTATTTCCTGCGCTTTAAAGGATTTTCTCTCTTTTCTTGTGCAGAACGGTAATCCACAGAACCCATACTGCAACGGAATCGAGGGGGGTGATGGAGGCCTATTACCAGAGTCTCAAATCTGTGCGTCTCTACGGGCCAACCCACTTCTCCCCTGTTATTAACCATGTGGCCAGGTAGGTCCTATATAATCACAGTGGGGGGGTGGGGGGGTGGGCATGTGTAGGCTGACACAAATGCCACGCAATGCACAGTGTACAATGATGTTTACAGAGATGTGTGAAAACAAAGAGAGGTGATTTTAAAGGGATGTGCTGAATGCTCTTAAGAGGAACCAATACTTTCTGAGGAGGTTTTTAAGTCGATGTCTGCAGGAAGGTGCACGATTGCCAGCCGATAGCAGTGGCTGTAGCTGTTTAATGGGCCTGCTCTCCACGTTCTACCGCCCAGATGTAAACCAGAACAGTGAACAGATGGCATCTCGTAGGAGCAGCACTGTTTGTTGGTATTGTGCTAAATTTAGACTGATTTGTGTGAGCGTTTTTTTTTTTTTTTTACCTTTCTTAAATGAGTTGCCTAGGAACATCCCTAGATGTCTGCATGTCTTTCTGTTGTTATGTCAGTCTGTCTGTAACTTTCTGTAACTGTCTATCTCAGAATCAGAATCCTACTGAATCCTAAGTAGGTAAACACATACAAAATATGACTTGGTGTTTAAGTGCAGAAAGAATAAACATCAAAGTAGAATAAAGAAGTAAAAGGTTGATTAAACAGTAGTACCCCTACTGTCAAGGAACTTACTATACATAAGATATAAAATAGTATCTTCACTCCAGTTCAGCTCAGGGCGTCCACCTCTTAAAAGAAGTTTCTTCATTGCTGCTGTTGTCCCGTGCTTTTTATTGGTGGATTAAGTGAGTTCCTTGTTAATATTACAAAGAGTACAGCCTTGACCTGCCTGAAATGTAGTTGAGCTGTATGATGATAATTGATTGACTTCGGCCCAGTGTCCACCTAGCGTTTTTTTCTGAGCGGCAGCGTCTTTTTTCAGTTGTCTTCACTGAGGAGGGAGTGTTCTCAGCAGAAAACGACCTGCCTCTTTTTCCCCACACGCTCCGCCTTTTTTGTGCGGCCGTTCCAAGCTCTTCCAACTTTTTAGAAAGACAGCGTTTACGTCATCGGTGCTCTTTTCAAAATGTATGATAGTCCCTGTAGTTTTGCTGCCTACAGATCGTGTCTTGTATCCACATCCTCTTTGCTCCAGGTCTGATCCGGTAAAAAAACGATCTCTAATATGAAACATGCAGTAAAACGTAGCGGAGCAGTGTCGGTCATACAGCAACAGTTGTCATAGAGACAGGACAGAGGTGCAGTGCTTTTCTTCTCAGCGCAGAAGTGTCCCCGGAGTGCACAGCCAGCGCTTTTCTGCCTGAAAAAAACGCTAGGTGTACACAGGGCCTTATTGATTATCTTGGAGCATGTGACTACCACAACAGTCCTTAAGTGTCTGAACAGTCGGCTGATTGATGGGTTACCTCCAGATGAAAGAAAAAAATTAAAGTAAAAAAACCCCATGCTCATTAGGAGAAGCAGTGCTGTGGATAATATGAATGTCACACCTCCCACTTCACAAACACAGGCTTCATTAATCTCCCTAGTAGAAAACAAGTACCAGCGCTGCACTATTAAAACCTGAACTACCAGAGACAAATTGACCCTTGAGTGAAGTTAAGACTTTATTGCTGCAACAAATTATAAATGCAGAAACCTGCTCTTCCTCTCTTTTAAACATTTAAAACTTAATATAAACACTTCCAGTGGAGATAACCACAAACTGTCAGCCCAACTCTGCAATATTACACCAACAATCGCTGATAGAATGTAATGTGCTGTTCTGTACTACAGCAGTTCCCGACTTCCACCTGACATCCCCTGTTGCCAGATCGTGTCTCATGATCCTGAAGACTCACTGTAACAAGCACTTTTCCCACCTTTCATCATCAGCTTTAAAAGCCCATCTCCCTCCCTCTCTCTCTCTCTGCCTTTCTGCTTCTCTCTCTCTCTCTCTCTCTCTCTCTCTCTCTGCCTCCCTCTCTCTCTTTCTCTCTCTCTCAGAAAGTACCATCCGCCCACTCACACTGAGAATAGCTGCATTGTTCAGCGCTCACTTCTGTGCAGCATCTGACTAAAATCCAGGAAGACGCGGCAAAAAAAACAAAAAGAAACGAGTGACACCTAGTCACATCACATTTCTAATTAACCGATCCTAATCTAGTAAGGGTGTTGTTTAAAAGATATCCTCAAAATATTATCTGGTCACATAATTTAAAAAGAACTGATATGCACAGTGTAAATGGAGAATGAAGAGAAAGTCATACCTGGCTCCAAGATGTATCAAATAATTGCTGTGAAATCTGAATTGAGCAGAAAAAAAAGCTTATTTTCCAGTTAACATGGCCCATTGTATTAATTTGGCCTAGCACAATGGTTACAGTGTAACAGGTCCATCTGTTCTCAATACTAAAGTCTATTTGGAAGTGATCACTTAGGGACTAATAACCTGATGAGGGATATTATCTATTCAGGTAATTGCAGCTGTGCATGTGGTTTGAGACAGATGAGGTTTAAGGGGCTCTCTTCCAGCAATTTAATTGTGTACTTCAATAAAGTTGGTGGAAAGACATTTGAAGGCAAGGCAAGTTTATTAATAGAGCATCATTCATAGAAAGAGCAACTCAAAGCGCTCTATAGAGTTACAAAAACAACAACTTTTAGATCATTATTGAGCAAAAATAAGACTTTAAAATGCAAAAACATATTAAAATATACGACCAACAACCATCGGTTTTAATGTTTTATCTATTTTCAAACAAATGCCAACAACTCTCCTGCTGAAAGTCTTTCTCTCCTGTGATCGCTTTAGTCAAGTCTTTCATTGTACTTCTATGTTTGTTTGTACTGAGGTGAATACGGTTTTAGCTCGTAGTGTAGTCACCTCTGCTGGCCAATAGTAAGCATGCATGTTTGTTCCACTTCTATTGTCCATACTTCACTATCTCTGAGGCGAAATCCACTTTTTGTGTGAACTCTATTGTCCTAATAAGACTAATCCTACACTTCCCATAATGCAACTCAAATATCTGTTTGTTACCCTGCAATCTGATGCTGTCATAGTAATCAGAAAAATTGATTAAACCTGGTCAAGTTAATCGTCTTATTGTGATAAAACATGGGGAGGAAAAGTGAAATTGTGATAGATGATCAAATATTTAGTAAAAAACTAATTTTTACATTGTAATTTTTACATTGTATTTGGTTGTAAATATTAGTTGCTGTCTTGTAGAATGGCACTAACCAGTTCTGAGTCTGATTAATGAATCATCATTTATATTAATTATTGGTTTAACGATGTGCAGTTTTCCCTGATTTGCAGATTTCAACTCTAATCCTTGTCTCTTCACCAGGTATGCGTCAGCGGTGACAAACGGATCACAGTACTTCATCCTGCTCATTATCTCTGACGGCGTCATCACAGACATGGCACAGACCAAGGAGTCCATCGTTAATGTACAGTACCTCAGATTCACTCTCATGTACTGCATGGCTTACTATTGAAAACACATTCACCAAGTAACCAGGAATGGGTGATTTTGACAGTTTAATCATCAGCAGCAGCCAATATTCATCCCGGGTAATTTATTTATAAATCATGTGAGGACCCCGGGTGGTCCAGCAATGATTGTCCACTAATGGAAATTGTAATAAACTAACAAACAAACAATATGAAGGAGAGAATATGAAAAGCTGTGGAGCTGTTGTCCTCCTCTCTCCTTTCACCCATCTTCACTAATGAGCTGAGAGGATTGGGGTTGTTTTCCTCCTCACTCGCTCTCTCTCTCCCTCTCCCCTATATCCCCCCTGAACCCACAGATCCTGCCACATTCAGGTCTAAGAACTCTGCTTTCTAATGAGGGGTAAAGCGTGTAACGATTTTCATATATTTAGAGGCTCCATTGGCTGTTTTCGCTGCTCCGCATCACACCGCCTCTCCATGTCTCTCGCCGCCCGTGTGATGTAACACTATTGTATTCTGAGTTGGATTCCAGAGTAATTATTTACTTGCCCGCAGAGGACCCATGCCCTCTTGTTTCTCAAACAATTTTGCAATGCGTCTAATAACCACTGGAAGTTATGAAACAATGAAAAAAAAAATACTTTCATTCATCACTCAAACTGTACTTGGGCGGCTGAGATTTAATAAACAATATTGCGGAGCAGGGCAGCAGTTCAGCTGCAGCTCAGGGCGGACAGATGAAGATGTAAATGGGAGCCATTTTTAAGCTGTCTAAGCTCTGGGAGATTTAGACAAAGTTGTAGATGCATGAAATTACAAAACTCCCGAGCTGGACGGACGAGAGGCTTTATTAAAGCGGCTGGGGGAGGCAGATGGAAGTGAATGAATAAACCCCGTCTGTCTGAACAATGGTGTTGAATTTTGTCATTGAGCTTTCTTTCCGAGCCCTGTGAGAGTACAGTGCAGTCATTTGCAGGGGGGAATTTTTCAGTCAGCCTGCTGCGTTTAAGATAGCAAAATGGGGGAAAGAAGCGAGCGTTGCTTCTTCTCCACCTTTGATGCATCTGTTTTGTACCCCTCCACCCTTCACAGGCCGCGTCTCTGCCCATGTCAATTATAATAGTTGGGGTTGGACCAGCGGAATTTGACGGTAAGCAGGGTGAAGATGCTATGTATGTGTGTGCGCATGCTTTTGTGTTGTGTGTTTATTTGCATGCAGTAATCCTTCTTCCTCCATCCTATCTTGCCTCCCACATGGTTCAGCCCTTCTTTTCTTCTCTTCCTCCATTCTCCTTCCTCTTAATTCTTCCCCTCTCCTCCTCCTCCTCCTCCCTCTGAATCTGAGGTTAAGTGGATGTGAAAATTCTCATTTGTAAGGCCAGATGTGGAGTTTTTCCTTTTTGTTTTTAGCGTTTGTCTTATAATGAACGATGGCCTCGTTTTCCACCTCTCTCCTTTGTTGTCATGTTTACAATTCTCGGAGCAGTCCTCTGCAGAAAAACAAGCTCACTCAAGATGAGCAATTAGCCTGCAAAGTCAACAGGATTCAGGGATTATCACGCTTATGAAGCCAGGGTGCACGGTCGCATGACGTCCCAGTGGTGCACAGCGCTGGCTGTTACACATATTCTCGCATGTTTCCCGCCCACGTGCACGCTTGTGTGCAACTCAGAGCCCGATGGCTTCACGCTCAGCGACGCAAATTCTGTGTACTCATGCCACGTTTGGCATTACCAACACTCAGAGGAAATGTAACCCAGTGGCACGCTAATGGCTTCAGCAGATTAAAAACACACAAACTGTGTGTCATGTTCGTTCGGCTCGTCTTTGACACGGCGATTTGAGTCTCCTGACAGGCTGTGACTGATGTGTGTTCCCTCCTGCAGAAATGATCGAGCTGGACGGGGACGAGGAGAGGATCTCTTCCCAAGGACGATATGCGGAGAGGGACATAGTTCAGGTAGAGACATGGCTGACTGGCGATGTGACTGGCTGTTCAGCAGAACGGCCCCAGAGAAATGTGGGATTTATGATTAATGGGAAAAGGTCACGGTGCTTGACCTTCTGCTCTTGTTCCTCAGTCTGCCATTTTTCTCTCCTTTTTGCTCTCTCACGCCTCTAAACTATGTCCACCCTCGTGCTCTGTGTCCTTTGCATTCTCCTCCAGCTGTTTCTCTGTCTCTTACCTGATGATTCAATAATGAACACTACCTGTCTCTTTTCTCATTTTACTCTTTCCTCTCTTCTACCTATGTTTCCTAACCCTCTGCCATCTTTTCCTTGTTTTGACCTCTCTCGTTGTTTCTCTTTCTCTTTTCTCATCTCCTTTTTACATCTCCTTCTCCTCTACTTCTCTTGTTCCCTCTCCTCATTTCATCTTCTGTCACTCTCCCAGACCCCTCTCCTCCCTTCTTTAAATCTTTGAAAGGATCTTTCTGAATTCTGGGAATGTTGTTGGTGTTTTTTTAAGCCCCAAAGTGCGACTGAGAATTAGGTGCAACTGAAATATTTTTTTAATTATTTTGCATCTTGGTTCTCATATTTTTTGTCTTTATTGTTAAATCTCAGAATCTCTTTTTCGTTATACTCTGTCATTCTCAAGTGATGATGTGACAGTGAATGGGTTTCTCCTTGCAATGCTTTAATGGATGATCTCTCCTCTTCCTCTCCTCTCCTCTCCTATCGCCTCCTCTCCTCTCCTCTCCTCTCCTCTCCTCTCCTCTCCTCTCCTCTCCGCAGTTTGTTCCTTTCAGAGACTACATCGACCGGCGAGGAAACCACATCCTCAGCATGGCTCGCCTGGCTAAGGAAGTGCTCGCTGAAATCCCAGACCAGTTCCTGTCCTACATGAGAACCAGAGGGATCAAACCCGGCCCCCTTCCTCCCCCTTACACCACCTGTCCTACACCTGCTCTCCACCCACTCCTTGCCAGACGGGTAAGCCGAATCTAAAGGCCTTGGTGTCTCTTCAGCGCCGGCCAGCTGACTCCTCTGGTCTGTCCTCTCCTCTTTCTGCTTCTTCTTCCTGCTCTTCACTGGAAGCTTTTGAGCACACGGACCTCGCCAGCTCTCTCATGCTGCACTGTTGGGGGACGTTTTGCCATGAGCCATGATCATGATGCGGAAAACCTAGAGTGGGACGCTTCAGACGGACATTTCTTGTAGGTTTTGAAGGAGGAGGATCCTGGTGTCCCAGAAAGACAGAACAGGACTGAGATTGACCACTCGCAGCTTTCAGACCATAAGGGTCCAAGCTTTGGAGCCCCTGTTTTCAAACACTGTTCATCTATTTTCGATTTCTCTTTCCACTTCCTCTATCTCTCACAATATCATCTTTCAATATATAAATGTTTACAAATCGAGGACTGGAGTGGGAGTTTTTTTCAGGAGGACATTTATACCGATCAATGTGAAAACCTTTCAGATTCCTATTTTTCGGCTGCAGAAAACTGGAAGTTGTGACTTTGTACAAAAAAAACATTTAGGCCCTGGTGCCACGTTCCTCATTACAGAGTAGTTTTTTTTTTTTTTTTCAAATAAATGGAGCATGTGCTAGTTTAAGAGAAGCATGCACTGTCGTCTTGCACTCAGGGCTTTGTCCCTCCCACAAAACCCCACCAACCCCAACACCCCTGCCATGCCCCATTACAAGCCAACCCATCACCGGCAACCTGAAATCTTCCCAATTTCTGCTCCGTCCACCTGCCTTGACTCCTCAGGTAGCTGTGCTCCCTGGGAGTCTGGTCAAATGAAATGCAGCAGGGACTTGAACCAGCCTTACTCTTTTTTTGTCGGATAACGTTCACAGGCACGGTGGGTTCTGGAAACGTGAATCTCCAAGCCCAGGCGTCAAAAACACACATCTCACAACCGAACCTGACTGTGTGTTAGCGTCTTTTTTTTTTTTTTTTGTGACTTATCATCATACTTCAGAATCATTTTTTGTTTTGTTTAACGTCTCTCTACCTCTCACTTGGTTTGATATTGCCAAAACGTTGTTTTAATACCGCCAATAACAACAAAGTGTTGGCGTTTCGGATTTTTGGTAAGTCTGTTGAGTTCACGGTTTTTACCTTTCTCACTTAGTTTTCATAAAATATCTGCCAAACATGTAGGTTGAGAATCACAGCACTTTGGTAGCTTTCAGATCAGGTGACTCACACTTATCTGTGCTAGCATCACACTGTGAATATGTGCACAGAAAACAGCTCTCCAACAGACCAAATTGAAAAGATGCTTCGTCTTTTAACAGCTACCCACATGAATCAGAGAAGTGACTGTGAACACGCCTTTTAGTTTTGTCCAACAGCATTGTAACTTCAATTCAAAGCCAGTAATAATCAGTAGCCCCTAAGGTTTAGTAGCATGTATCTAATCATCTACTTGAAGGAACATGTCACCAGAAAAACTCAGTTTTCCTATCACATTACCACCGCATAAAGGCTTGAAAAGAATGTAAGTTGATACTGTACTTTTGGGATGACAGCAGCTTTTCTACACAGCTACATCCTCAGAATTATTTAGATATCTTCCATTGGCAATTTAGCCTTTGTGGATAATGACAAATATTTAGTAGAGATTTAGTTGCAGATATACAGTATGCACAACACATATGTTGGCCTAGACTTGGCTCTTTCATATCCCGGTGCATGTGAACAGTAGGACCGACAAAATTAGACGTCAAAATGGAGTTAAAAGACGGCATCGTTAGCTAATTTCTATATTTAGACATTTGAATTTAAATGCAGAAATTTCATAGATGCTAATAAAAAGTCTAAAACCCATCTGATGGAAGCTAACTGATGCAGAGATAACATTTTTGGCCAATGAGCTCTTTCGCCCGAATCATTGGCTGTTTCTTCCTGCACCCAACCAAATGCCCTTTTAAGGTTATCCAATACTACTCAACAGAAGAAAACCAGAATGCTTCTGATACCAATACTTAGTCCTAAATTGACAGTGTCTGCGTTGTTAAAAGTTAGTCTTTTGTAGAATAAAAAAGTTGCAATGGATTCTTGTGGCAATTTCACATTTTAAAAGTGATTCAAAAAGGTTGCTTTAATCATTTCTTGTTTCCCCTATTTGGGTCCTGGCAAATCCTTAATACATACACACAATTAAAATGAGTGATATTCCTGTGTGAAGTCACTAAGCTGCTGTTGAAAGTTGACTTTTTTGCGTATTTTTTATGATGAAAGTGTGACAAAAATGATAAGACTCTGAGTCTCAATAATCCTCGTTTCATCAGCAGTGGGATCCAGACATCTTTCTAATACTTTTTTTTATGTAAACGGCACTCCCCCACCATTGGCTCGAGGTGAATTCTCCTGATTATATCCTGCTGTGTTCTCACATCAGCCCACTCAGACTTGCTGCGGAAAAAATACTAGGGGTCTGGCAGGAGAAACTCCGGGCAAAGTCCAATGAAAAATTTGGCTCTTTGCGTTCACACATGCGGCTCTTTCTGGACATATCAGGAGTTTTTCAGAAGTTTTCTGCAAGTGTGTAAGCCCTAAATGTTAATGTGAACATTTTCATATCGATCCTGCAGCACAATCCACTTAACCCTGTCATCAAAGAAGATAGATAGATAGATAGATAGATACTTTATTGATCCAGAGGGAAATTCAAAGCATCCAGTAGCAGGTTACAAAGACGTACATGACATGAAACATTTCTTACAAATTAACCACAAAACCGATGTCCCCCTCCCATACATATATATAAACCCGAAAAAAGATTTAAAGAATACCCCTAGATGAATCAAACTTAAACTGTGCAATTAGAAATAGACGTATACAATAAAATGTACATAACCCGTGCAGGGATAAAAATATATGTGAAATTTAAAGAACCTATAAAGGAAAAAAATCTGTAATTAGACCTGAATATAAAAACATTAAAATAAAGAAGTGTTGACCTTCTGAAATTGTGTTGTTTATATATGTACAGCAATGTTTAAAAAGAAGATAGTTGCAAAATTATCAAAAAAAAACAGACATTAAATAACAGTCAGTGCAAACATTTAAGGTGCAATTTAAATAATTGTGAGAACCATATGCACCAAGCATGGCAAAGAAAAGCGTTCATCGCTAGTGGAAGTCTAATTAAGACTGGCCACCCAAAAACAAATTTGTGCTTTTTATAGACTTAGCTGAATTATTTGGTCTTGAAATTGGGTCACCATCTGAATCCATTGTATCTGTTGTGATGCCAGAATAACTAAAGCTGCTGTTGTCTGTAAAAAAAAGAGCAAACTACAAACACCCCAGAGCCTCGTGATGGTCGGTATTTGATCTTAAAAGACTCAGTTATTCTGGGCAGTGTTCTTATGGGGACGTACTTTAAACAGGTAACTGCACTGTCACTTTTAGCCAAGTTTTCTGAGGTTGAAACTCTAATGCAACCCTGCAGTTTTGCCCAGTTATGTGCAAGCTTGATGACTTTAGGCAAAGCACAAACTCAGAAAAAGCTACAGACACCACACCCAGAGGCCCCTTTATGACTCATGTAAATGTGTGAAGAACAGCGTTGAAACATTTGACTCTGTACCTGTGCAAACTGTAGATCCCATCAGTACTCTTTGGGCCCTATTCAGTCAAGGAAACAAATCGAAACAAAAAGAAAGGTTTACAACATTTTTTCTAAACTTGCGCCTCAAAGTTATCACGTACTTCTCGGCTGATGATGCTTCGTTCAAACGTCTACTTATAAACTGCTTGTGAGATATTTTCTGAGATATTTATACACTGTACAAAATGTTTGCCTTTTTTGTGTAATGGTCAATATACTGTGTATGTAATGCTGCTTCTTAACTGCTGATATAACTATAACATTTTATACTGAGGCCTGTAATCATATTTAAATCATGACTAACAGGCCTTACTCATGTTTATACATCGGTTATTCATATTTAAATCATGAACGACAGGCCTGTATTTTTGTAGAAGCGAATGGTTTAAATAATAATGTTGTTTCATGTGTGCAAGATGTTTAAAAGTAGACCTGGTGAGCAAGTTCACTTTGTAGCAACATTTCTGCCGAATTGGATTTAAATGAAAAGTGTAGCATGTCATAGTTGACTGAGACTCACTCCAGAGAAGCCGCTCATTATTCAGTTTGACTGAATAGGGTCCGTCAGTGTTGGGGGGGCAGGTGGTCTGATAGATTTTTGTACTCTTCTGTGTTGTCGTATCATTGCGGGAGCCCGTGCAGTACGACGGCGGGGGATGTTGAATTGCACAATGTAGCACTGGTCTTTAGTCTGGAGCTAGACTGGAGCAACACTAGCCTGAAACAAATAAGACCAGATCAGGCAGGAACCATTTTTATATATATATATATATATATATAAATATATATATATATGTTCATGTGTACATATTGGGTATACAGTATAACGTGTGTATGTTTTCCAGAGAGTTGACTTTGCAGCAAACTGCCAGGACTCTGAGACTCTCCTCCTGAAACACAAGGCAGGGCCTTTCATTTATTTATCACGACAAGATGTCAACTCCATCTTACACCCACACTCTCTTATATACTGTACATCCAGTACATGTATTTGTATATGAAACATGCATGAAACTTACATAACAAGGTGACGGCTGAGTGAAGATGAAGAGTTACTTTGCTTGTTTTCTCAGAGAAACAGTGTTTTCACAGACGAGGTATTAATCACAGTATAAAGCACCTTTTAAATGCTGGGTTTCTAAACACTTCCTGTCCTGTGAATTCTCTTTGAGCTCCAGGATGTCACCTTCTAAGTAGAATTCTTAGGATCAAAAACTTGGAGGCCACGCCACATGGATGATTTAAAAGCTGAAAACCACAAAAATCTTAATCAAATGCTGCATGCTTACATTTTTTGATTGGAGAAAATGTTTAGGACATGTACATATTAGTACTGGTCTTTATTTTGGTTATCAGAATCAGAATCAGAATCAGATTTATTGGCCAGGTATGCTCACACACACAAGGAATTTAACTTTGGTGAACTGTGCTCTCTTATGCACAGGTACAAAATTAAATATCAACAATAAACATAATAAGAAAAGACTAATATTTACGTGACTAAATATGAAACAGTGCAGTGGTGAATAGTGCAAAAGATGCTGAAGTAACATGATGAGTAAAATGCAGTAAAACGATCATTACACACATGAGGCAGATATGATTTACCCTTTTGCCTTTAATAGACAGGACAGCTGAAGAGAAACAGGAAATGATGGGAGGAGAGAGAGGGGGAACGGCATGCAGCAAAGAGCCGAGGTCAGATTCGAACCCATCACGACGAGTACTAAAGCCTCTGTACATGGGGGCACCACATAACCGCTAAGCTATCAGCAATGTTAGATTACTTTTAAGTTTAGATCAAGAGCCACCGAACCTATGGCACACCATTGTTCAAATATTCTTTGCTGAGATAATTATAAACGTTGGATATGAAAATAAATTGACAGTTTCTTAAGTCCTGCCCCTTCATTTATTATTTTTGCTCAGCCTGCAAAAGCTTTCAGTTTTCTCACGAAGTCCTACAAGTCCAAAACCTTTCAAAAGTTACCTCTTGATGTTTCAATAGGAAATAAGACGGCACAACCCCAGGCTATTTAAAGCAACAATATGTAATTTTATCACCTTAAAATAGTCTATTAATGTCTATTTAATAGTAATATCATTT